TTTTTATTCAACAAATATTAATCAAAACTCCACCTTACAATATTAATTTAGTAATCGTTAACCAATATTCAAACTAATTACGTGCAACGTAGTTTTCAGATAACTATGTACATGGACGGAAACACGCGTTCTATTGTCTACTAGTTTTCATCTATCTGAAGGGCTCAAATTGGCGACAGTGGCTTAAAATAAACAGAGTACTTCTTAAATGATGATGGGTGATTTTCAGTGTCCGTTTTCCTTCGCAACTTTTCGTTCATCCATGTTTCATTGTATTTAAAGGGTCTTTATCAATGCGTATATCAGTAAATGATCAGTGTTGCACAGCTGAATTTTTTACATTTCTATCAAAATATAAATAACTTGGGAACACAGTATGCAAATTCCGTGAAATTGTCCCTGTTGCTAGTCAAAAGCATGTACTTTATCCCTATGTAATTTTTTATTAAATGGAGTGAGCCACAATTTTTTTTTAAATATACTTTTTTTGACTCGCCCTGTAGACACAGATAATAATGATAACTTTTGTTCTATCAGGTAAATGTTCCTGCCAAGTATGGGGCTTTCTCGTATAATCTTGAAAGCTTACACAGTCTTTTGCAATACATTGAAATTTGGTGATAAGATGCATATATAATGATTAGATGTTGGACAAAAAAACATTTTCATGAAAATGGTCTGAAGTCGTTTTTCCAAATAGCTGCTACCTAGCATTATATGACACATGAGGAAGCCTGAAGAATACACAGCTTCCACATCAAAAGTGTAAATTAATTCAATTATTCAAACACTCAATTAATATTTACAATTAATACAACATTTGTTGGTACAACATACATTGTACTTGTCCATTATTGACCCTGGCAGAAATGTACGAAAAATATATACTTTGACCTTCTTATCAATAAGAGTTGCATAGTTTATGAATACGCTCACGGATTTACAGGTACGGAAAACGCTTAAAAAGCGACACTGTCCGACCTATATAATTAAAGAGTACGAATGGCTGAAAGTGCATAGGGTAATTTTTGTTTGGTTTGAAGCAACAAAATTGCTCAAAATCTTTCATTAGGATGCATAACAGCTAACTTGTTTCAGCTCAACGGACACTATACACTTTCAGGAACATAATGCACATTTTTGGCGTCTCATAACACACTGTAAAAAAAAACCCTCAGTGTTTTCTTCCGAACGATTCTATTTCAGGTTAAATAATTCCACAGGGTTTTTGTTATCATCCCTCTATTCACTTGAGCAAGGCTTTTTTCATTAAGTCGTTAGGTCTGTTTCCAGGTACATTGTAAGTACAAATATCCCTACGTGCCTTTAACCGCACAGTTTTGGGTTTGAAAGTAAACAAAGATAATAATTGTAATATTGCAGTATCGATGCAAAATATTTTAAATCCTTGATATTTCCAGGCGTTCCAAGGCTCTGCACATATCAGAGTAATGCAGCAAGCTTTATTTTGTATCGTTATTTTTAAGGATTTTGTGAAATATTCTAAAAGATTTCAGAGGATACAAATAACCTCAAATGAGATTTACAAAACAAAACACATCGTATAGTTACTGTTGTGAAAAAATGAATACATATGCACATGTTCACACCAAATTTTACCTGCCCCAATTTTCAAATAACAAATCTATGAAAAGGAAGCTTTTCATAGATTTATTATTTGAAAATTGGGGCATGTTGCCCCAATTTTGTCATGTACAAATACCGGGTCTTGAAATTAATGCTCAGAGTGGGAGTTTGGTAAGCTATTAAGGAAGGCTCTTAGAAACTGTTAAGTTGGTTAGAATGAATCAAAAGCATAATCATAATAATTATTTGTCACAAAATTAATTTGTTTGTGTTAGTTAATATATTACAAACATGTACCAGCCACACTGAACACCAATACATGTATAAACAACACACACTGAAATTTATATCATCAGAAATTACTTTCATTTTCAACTGCATGTTGCTATTAAGGTATGGAGGGATAAAACGATAACACATCAAAAAATGCCTGGTTTATTTTGAACGTGTAGTTGGTGTTCTATTTGGCACGTGTAGTTCATGTTTTTATTTATAACATGTAGTTTGTGTTGCTATTTTGAACATGTAGTTATTTTATCGCATGGGAACCAGTCTATTTTGACGCCTGAAGTGGTGTGTGCGAGTCACTGTAGATATTAGGTAGAAATATCGTTCTCTCCAAATTCCAAATGTTTATAGTTTGATCTCATTTTACCACCCGTGCCAAGTGCAAGCAAAGCGTTGTTTTTTTCTGAGAAATCCAGTCGATTTTTCCTATAAAAATATTGATGGTGAACAGCTGTTGCGGCCATCGCTATCATGATAAACTTGCGACCAATGAAAAACGGCAAATTTCACAAGCGTCACTCATGATATTCATTAACATATGAAGTCTATGAACCGCCTACTCTAAATAAACAAAACCGTGGCATCGACTGGTCCTTTCTATACTGATTTTAGAAAGCATCGTCGGAAATGTTTCACTCAGAATTTTTAAAAATCAAATGTGTTGCATTTTACCAGCACTACTTCATTCATCGAGAATACTCTATTACTATTTGGTGCTCCAATGTCTGAGTAAAAACCCCAAAATTACATATTTAAATAAAGATGTTATCACAATGAAATTAACAAGTAATTAATTAAAGGGCCCATGCAATGTAATTATTTTTGATGCAATCCTTGAAAAGCCACCTTTGTGTCCCATCCCATTCAACTTCATATTCAATTTTCGTTTTGCCATTTTCAAGGGTACTACTTGGGTGCCTTTTTGGTTTTTATGCTAATACAAATTTCCATATTCATGAGCGAAAGTGTGATGTCATTCCAGGCAGAAACCTCAATGTTAACAGCTATTTCAGCACCAGAAGTTGGCAGAATAATATTATTGATATTCTGCTGTCGTAAATGTTCTTTTCTTTGGTGATTCGTTGATGTGGCAGTAAGCCAATGAGCAAACGTTTCTCACAATTGTTTTTAATAAGCACATTTTTGGGTTCACAAGTTGAACAGAGAACCCCTAAACTGACCAGTGCCTTCTAGAAATGACATCACAGCAACAGCACCCTCAGTTGTCCGGAAAAGCATGGACAATTTTTAAATGTTTAAAGAAGTGCACTTGTCAATAAAATTAACCAAAAAGGGTTGCCAAATAGTTTTCATACATTTAAGAGGAGTAGAAAGGTATACAAAATGTGTTCCTAATAAAAATCCATCTCACGGATCCTTTAAGTTTGTTCTATCGTCAAAGCACCCACATTGTATTATAAAATTAAGTACATTGTACATAAGCACCACACTTTTCAAACCACCTATATTCTACGACTGTATTCTACATTGTGCATATTAAAGCTATAGTCCATCATTTGCAGCCATCCGAAAAGTAACTGGCGTAATTATTGTTAAAAAACATACTTGGTTGAAATATAGTAAGTGGACTAAACTCCCTGTGAAATGATTCTTTCTGGCAAGCTGTCATTTTGAAGTAATCAACGAAAGAGGCCTTTCCAACCGTGCTTCTTAAGACGCACCGTAGGAAATTAAAATTAGTAGTTTGTTTTGTTATTTGGCGAAGCGCGCGCAAGCATTGGCACGACGCACGTGCGCTTGCTATAATTTGTCAGATCAGTGCGCGACATCGCATATAGCTGCAATTCAAAACAATTCAAAACATGATTCAGCAACTTTTGATTTGAAATTGAGATCCTAGAATGCTGTTTTTCTTGAAATATACAGCTGAAGCTGAGCTGAAACTGAGCTGAAACTTCATCAGGTTAGTTGTTCAGTATCCTTCATTAGATTTTGAACACTTTTGTTGCTTCAAATGAACAAAATGCACAAATTACAAATGATGGACTATATCTTTAAAGTCAAGTGTATGAATTAATAATACCTTTGTTTACAAAAACCATCAACTAGTTTTCCATGATCTGAATGTTATTTTAATAAAATCTAGCATATTAAAGCACTTTTTAGATGTCAGACGAAGCTGCTATCAGAATAATACATCAGCTGCTACAAGATTTGCATAGATTATGAATTTCAAAAAAATCTACATACTACACACTTTTTTACACTCACAAGAAATTAAACTTACCCGCTTTATACCAGAATACTTTAGTTGACATGTGCTTTCAGCCACAATTTCTTTGTACATGTGTACATGTAAATAAAGTTTCGTGACAAACAAACCACGCTATTAATCGCTTGACCAATAACACACATGATGGCTGAAAATCACAGAAAACGTCTTGCACCAAAAATAGTATTGAGGGTTTGCGGTAACACCACGAAGACGATCAGAGTTGTGCACTCTGAAGACGATCAGAGCACACTGATCGGAACGTCGAGTTCACGACCAACTGGTTCTTTCTAGAACCGCACATCTTCTCAAAACAGATTCTTCCACATGGTGTTACCGCAAACTCTCACTAGTACTTTACACTACCGCCATGCAAAGTTTCAAATCTTAATTACCAAATATATTAACATGCAGACAAGAAAAACACTCCAGAAAAGAGGTAAAGAACGATTATAGGTTGGGGGGGGGGGAAATACAGTAATATGGATGTCCAAGTGACTTGGCAACATTTTACAGACAAATATATGTACAATTGGTAAGAAAACTGGTCAGCTGGCCTGGCAGATAGTTTGTTGTGCTAGAAATCTTTTGCAAATTACCTCCCTCAACTAACTACAAATGTAGTTATTTCTAGCAAAATAACTATTTTCACATCTGCAATGACTTCCAAAATAACTTATGTGCATTAACAATGAAGACGTTCTCAATTTCAGGACACAGGTGGTCCTTACAAATTTATTTCCTGAAACCCCAACAAGAACTGTGTGTTAGTACATGTACACAGCTCCAGTGAAATCATTAGAAACTTGGCAGAAATGTTGAGAGAGCACATTATAATTATTTGGTATACACTGGGTTATTGTGCCCCTTTCCTCTCATTGTCTCTCCCCCCCCCCCCCCCCAGTGGTACATCCTCCCTGGCGTTGCCCATGTCCCATCAACGTCCCATCTAGTACTTTCCTTACAATGATATGGTATGCACCTGTTTATCCCGCCCCTTTCCTCTCATTGTCTCCGCCCCTGAAGTGCCACTTCCTCCCTGACGTTCGCCATGCCCCATCGAAGCCCCTGTCAGAGCTAACGGTCCCGGTTCTCTCTTCACCAGCGTTCCTGAGGTGACCTTTGACACCGGCTGGCTGCCCGCCGCTATCCCTGCTCCCGCGTCGGCTCTCGCACCTTGTGGTGATGATAGAGGGCGCTGCCCGATGCACTCCGAGTCTTGCTTGGTGAGGGCGCAACAGGACCAATGCCACTTACCTGGGTGTCCCGGATGACCGTGACCGCAACCTTTGAATCCACCTGACCAGGGGTAAAAAATAACAGCGTTGCTGTTGAAACTCCTCAGCCAGAGTCAAGTTATCATCCAGAAATCATTAACCTTTAACTCACCACGGTGAGCTTGATCTTTGACCTTTTGACCTCAAAAACCAATCCCAACTTGCCTACTCCTAGGGGCAACCCCCTAATGAAGTTACAATCCCAAACAACATTTCTAACTCAAGTTATCATCCGGAAACTAAGCTGCCCAGACGGATGGACGGACGGCCCGCCCGACATACGGACGGACGCCCTAGGCGATGTCAATACCCCTCGAGCCTCTCGGCTGAGGGGTAAAAATGGGAACTCAAATAAAATTCACTGACAGATGCTGAAATACACTATCTAACAATGATTACCATTTTACAAATAGCTACCAGAAGAGAATTGTAGTGTAGGTATATCATGAGCTGAATTGTGGAACAATTTGCGTCCTCACAAAATCCGACATTTCTGATCCATCCATAAAAAAAGGCCTAAAACACCACATGCCAGTTTCACAATCATCTGATGGGGCAGAACTCACAACTGAGCAGTGTGAGGCCACATCCAAATCTCCTCACTAGAGATTGTTTACATCTTTGTCAATTACAGCCACACTGGAACGTGTTTCAGAGACGCAACTTTACTCTAATCATTGCACAAAACATTGGTATGGATACCAGACTGGGACCTTGTGTGCAGAAAAACATGCCAAACAAAATCAGGCAACTTTATTCACTCTTAAGCTGACAAAATTTTCCAAAGTTTTCACGAGGCAAAGACAAGGTCCTCAGTATTTCACCAGCCAAGTTTTGAGGTCTCAATTCAATTGGTAAAGGAGACTTTTCTCCAACATTTTGCAAATGAGAGTGAAGCCAAGTGATTTCAATTTGAAGTCTAAGACTAGACTGGTACATGTCCAACTTTTTTAAAAGATCGACCATTCAGTAGTCTGGTGGCATGACTATGTGTAGAAATAGAGAATGTGTTGAAATAGAGACAGGGTACCAGTTGTTTCTTTGACACAGTTGACTGATGCCGTACTAAAGGGGAGTTGGACTGGTTGTTTCATGTGCCAGTCTATTTTCTTAGTTTGCATGTTTTTACTATCTTAAGTTTTGGCACCTTCATACACAATATTGAAAGTCCCAAATTTTGGCACTACATGGATACCAACATGCCATACTATGCATGCAGCATAATGTAAGCTTAGCTACACGCTAATCACACACAAACAAATCAAATCTTACCAGGCATTTTGCCCCCGCATGCACATGTGGCCTGTCTGCTGCCCTCGCTTGAGCAAAATGTACAACAGTGCCAGATACCGGCGTGTTCGCGCCAGCCTTCGTGTACAGTCACCCTGAAGGGGCTTCCCTGAAAATGGAAAAAAAAAATATTTTAGAAGTCTACTTGTTTGATTGAAATTATTATAAAATCCAGTGGTACCAATGCTAACTTTTACTAATTAAAGGCTGGATAGATAATTTGTCATCAAACAAACAAAAGTGCTCAAAATCTAAAGACGGGTGCTTAACAACTAACCTGATGAACTTTTAGCTCAGTGAATGCTGAAAATTTTGAGAAAATAATATTAGGATCTTGATTTCAATTCAAAAATTGCTGAGTCATGTTTTGCATTGCGCCTGCAATCAGCATCTGGGACACGTTCTCATTCGGCTGATTATAGCTACGCGTATTACGCACTCAACCGACAAATAATAGCAACCGCGCGCACGTGTGCGTCATGTCAAGACTTATGCGCGCGTACCCATTTACAGATTCGCCGAATTACAAACCAACTACTAACAGAAATGTCCAAAAATGCATCAATTGAAACATCTTTGGAAGTGGCCTTATTTTATTGTTTTCTTCAAAATGACAGCATGCCAGAAAGAATAATTTCACAGGGAGTTTAGTACCATTACTATCTTTAAACCAAGTACAAAGCTTTTCAACAATAATTTTGTCAGTTACTTTTTGGATAGCTGCAAATGATGGACTCTACCTTAAAGTAGATGTTTAAAATAAATGGCACTCCCTGTGTTAATTAAGAAAATTAGTATCACAATTTCTGTGGGCAAACTGTTGGTTTGCTTAAGTAACCCTAACTCCCTAGGGGGTGTGCAAAATCATATTGAAATTGGAGGATTCAGGACTGTTAGGGCTATGAAAATTATATGAAAGAAGTAAGGAAATTCTAGGTATCGTGCGTCAACCTTTTTACTTAAAAAATTTGATTTTGACAATAACTATTACTATCTAACAACAGTGTTTCGCAGATACCAATAGATATGGAGCTTTTCAAGAGAATGAATTCAAATGCTGTTGGAAATTTATCTCCAAGTCAAGAAATGGACTAGATAGGTCTTTTCAGATATCAAATGGTGAAACATGCCTTGACGTGTTGACCGTCCAAAAACACACAGAGCATGTGGGTAGCGTGGACTTGTGGCGTGTATTCGATCCGGTACGAGCCGTCATCTTCATCAAATATACTGCAATTCAGAACTCTGCAAAAAATTTTTTTGAAACAATGAATAAAAAACATTAATGAAAAATGTACCAAAACATGATACGCAAATGTTCAAAACTTATAGCAGCTCAATTTCAAACTAGTACAAAATATTGGTTTAATCAAATAACTGTTGTTGTATTTAACCTTAACTCCCTAGCGTCTTTTACTAGAAACTGTACGTCCAATACAAAACTGTATGTGACATAATGGAATCCACCACTGACACACTGGTTGACATTCATGGACTTGCTACACATGGCTTTTATCACAACAGCAGTACAGGAAGCTAGGCAAAATCAATCGGATACCCCTAGCACTGCTTCAGGCCATTAGGCCCAAGTCCATCATGCTCCATCAATATTTAGTCACACCAGGCCTTCTGTACCAAGTCCCTCAAAATCTAACAAAATGGGGGGATGGATTTTGATGGAGTTGGGGTGGTTAGGGTTAAAAGATAAAAGTGGCTGAATGACTTTAGGAAAATAGATTTATGAGAGTAGATTTGTTAATACTGAAAAGTGACTATGGTTAGTGTACCAAAAAGTTTCTCCAAATCACTGTCAATATGTTGAGGCAGAGCCAGGGACATCCTGGAGCAGTGCGGAGGAATTCAAGTATAATGTAGGCCTAAATTTATGCACGGCTGAGCATAAACAACATAAGGTCCAGCCCAAGGCCTTGACAAAGTGCGCCCTCCGAAATCAGCAACACACTTTTGCCATGTAGCCGCAATCCTTCAAAATCTTCCATTTTGCAAAGAGGATTTTGGAGGATTTGGGAAGGTTGGGGTTAAGTTTCTGATCAGGGCATCAATATACTTCTCTCATGAACCTACCTGTTTCTAACGGTTTCAACTGCCAGCGTCGCTCTGACATCCTCCCCTCCTTTATTATATGGTTGACCATCGATGTCTTGAATGATCAGAAGGAATTCAGATATCATTCCTTGCCGAGCCTCATGGACACCTAAAAGTATAACAAGATGATTTAAAAAAATAGGACAATTTGAAAAACTTATCAAAAGTTTAATAATAAGTCGACAGTTTTTCTTGTCAAGTTTTTGTGGAGAAATTGGAAGAAAACAAAGATTGTGTGACATACCTTCCCCAGTTACGTAGCATTTCAACGGGTCCAGTTGTTTAACTTCCAGCATCCCATGGACTTCATATCCGTTAACTCGGCCGGCTTTTGCCCTTGACTTGAATCGCAGAGCATTGTCTACTCTAGGTGTGCACTGATAGGAGACATGGTTAAGCTCGCTAAGACGATGACCGAGGGTTGGTTTCAAGGCTAAAACTTCCTGGCTGTTACTGTCTGATAGAGCATGGGTGGTTACGTTGCAGGAGTGTTGCATGTCGCGCAGCAGCTGCTGTAACTGTAAGCGATGAACTTGAAGGGATTTGATACGACCTTCGCCGACTTTGGAGACGTGACTAAGAAGGCTTCGACGATGCGCTTGTAATGCCTGGATGTAGTTATCGAAGTAAGAATTGATGTCATGATGGAGTTCAGTGGATCGGTCTGCAATGGAGACCTCAGAACGATTGATCGAATTGATACCACCGCCGATGGCTTGGACATGGGGCTGAAGACGAGCTACAAGGTTTTCGAGGACACGCTTGTGATGATGAACAACGTCTTCCGAGTATTCAACGAGATGCTCCCGATGCTGAACGAGGCAACAGTCTCGGCAGACTGACTGATCACAGGTCTCGCAGTACATCTTGAGCTCTTCCTGGGGATGCTTGGGACACATGACCGGGCTGCTTAAGGAGGCGGCTCCTTGACAACGCGCCTCATGCAACGAGAGAACTGAATGATTTGCCGTCTTGCGCTGCCGCTTATGAGCCTGAATGCAAAAGCCACAGACATTGACCATGCATTCCATGCATCGTGATACGGCCTTGGCGTTATCGGTGCACAGATCGCAGATGGTCTCTCCCGACTCCGGCTTCAACGATTCCAACATCAATTGTTTCTTTATCATGAAGTTCACGGGAAGCAACTCGGGACCTTTCGATGGAAGGTCAACCTCAAGATCACATGTCGGACAGTGGATAGCCACACTACGATGGCTGCTTCGTCCACTTCCTATGCTGCTCAGTGTGCTACCCGGACTGCCATGATCCTCACTGCTGAACAGATACGGCGAAAGGGTCTTGAGACAAGCGCTGCAGAATGTATGAAGACAAGGCAGCAGATGAGGATCGGAATAACGCTTCTTGCAGATGCTGCATGTTAGCTGCGTGTCTGTTTCCATGGTAGAGGGGTGTTTGGGGTTGCTTGGAGGGGGCGTGGCTGGGGCCGATGGAGTGGCTGATGATAGGGACTCGCTGTCACCGCTTAAAGTGTCGGACATGTTGCCTGATATCGAAGTCAGGCTACAATGTCACCAACATGACGCACCTGTTTGTTGGGAGAAGAAAACAAAGGAAAGAATGTAGTATCCAGATGCCCCTTCAGCCGTTGCGTACAAAGTTTATGGAGAGTCAAGAAAATGTTCTTAAGTTAAGTATTTCCTTACAAAATTGGAAATATTTCTCAGTCCCAAATTAATGTCTTTTCAACATTTTTGCAATGACTGGCCTTTATTGAGATGATAGGGCCTATATGAAGAAAAAATATATGAAAATGAAGAGCAAAAATCCTGAAAATAAAACGTTAAACTACATAAACTAGGCTAGAATAAGTAGCATGGCTAGTAAAAAGTAAAACTAGGCCCCTAGGCCTAACTCTTAACTTACAATGAAAAAGCAAGGTTAGTCATCATAGGCCTAACCCATTATTTATAGAAACCTTAGGCTTTAACTTAAAAAAAAAAACAACCAAAAAACACAATAAAACAATAGGCCTGTTGTGCCCATTCTTGAAAATCACGCATTCTCGAGAATGGGTGTGCACATTCTTGAGAATGTGCAACTGGATCCTTGCTCAATCTTGGCAAAAAATAACTCTTCCAGATTGAGCGCACATTCTTGAGAATGCGCGACAAGATAACGGTCTTGTCGATGCCGAGCACCGGCTGCGCTTGGCAAGTCTAGCTGAATCCTCGTTCACTGATTCTTAATAATTATACTGTTGCAACGCAAGACCGGGGAAAAAAATAAGAATAAATAAGAAAGAATTCAGATTTTTGGGATAATAAAAGAGGGGGGGGGGGGGACGTAAGAATGAAGAATGTGAAGAATGAGAATGAATACTGCGACATCCCATAGTGCTAATGCTATTTCCCATTTAAATTGCCACCAATTTATTGTTCACCCCCCCACCATTACGTCGCAGAGCTGGATTCTATCTAGTCAAAAGAGCAATTTTGGCAGCTTCTGGACATTGTTTTTTTTTCGTGGCACGCATATGATACATACACAGGGACTTGTACTTGTCTAGCCTAAACAAAGCACTTCCCAGACTAGTTCCCAGTCCTCCGTTATTACAAAACTTCCCATAAGTAGGCAGGAAAAAGCAATAATAACAGGTTTAATATGATTCAAATTATCGTAGTTATACGAGTACAGAAGCATAGAACATTTTCTTTCCTCTTTATATGAATTGTTTCCCTTTTAACCGCTATACAATTCATTTAACATAATTATGTCATGTATGTCGTGCATACTCCTAGAACTATGAGGCTCCACGTAGTGGAGCCTCATAGGTTCAGAAGCCCGCAAAATTGTTGTCAGCACAAAACACTAATTAAGTACAAAAACGTCCATCCCAAGCAGGCCGTTTTTCACAGAACCACTGCACAGTTTGCCCCTAAACTCCATACAATACCTCATGACATACTCACGTTATGTGCACCCAACAAACATCGGTGGATTCTGTCTGTTTTTCGGCAAAAATGATGAAAAATATGCCCTTTCCGCACTGAGCCAACCTAACACTTGAAACGAGCACGCGTGCAGAATGATCGCAGTCATTTTCGGTTCGATCGCTCGGAGCGCGCCGCGGGGGGTATGGTGTAGGAGCGGAACGATAGTATGCACATGCGTACAAGTGCAAGTACGTACCCCCCGCGGCGCGCTCTGAGCGATCGAACCGAAAATGACTGCGATCATTCTGCACGCGTGCTCGTTTCAAGTGTTAGGTTGGCTCAGTGCGGAAAGGGCATATTTTTCATCATTTTTGCCGAAAAACAGACAGAATCCACCGATGTTTGTTGGGTGCACATAACGTGAGTATGTCATGAGGTATTGTATGGAGTTTAGGGGCAAACTGTGCAGCGGTTCTGTGAAAAACGGCCTGCTTGGGATGGACGTTTTTGTACTTAATTAGTGTTTTGTGCTGACAACAATTTTGCGGGCTTCTGAACCTATGAGGCTCCACTACGTGGAGCCTCATAGTTCTAGGAGTATGTCGTGCAATGTTTGTTAAGATTGGGCAAAATTCATAAATTGTGCATGTGATATTCCCACCCAATCTTAAGAATGAGCGCTCATTCTTAAGAACGCGTGCTCGTTCTTAAGAATGGGCGCTCATTCTTAAGAATGCGCGCCCATTCTCGAGAATGCGTGATTTTCAAGAATGGGCACAACAGGCCCAACAACAGGCGGCATTTTTTGTGACTTGACAAGTGAATTTATTCGTGTAAAATTTACAATAGCAAATTACTTAAAATAGAACACATGGAAATACATAACTTCCTCTTCAAAGGGTCACAGTTTCATTGTGACAAGTATTTGCTTAAATATCGAAGTTTTAAAGACAAATTTCTAACCTCAAACTCACATTCCACTGCACAAACAATGCGTTATTTAACCAGTCTGCTGCCCCCGTCAATGCGACTATAAACATAAATGCAAAGGAACGGACATTCCAGTGAAAATGGGCAGGGTGCCAGACAAGCTTGGCCACCACTTGAGGGCGCTACTTCAATTTAACGGGGAGCATTTTCTTCGTGCGTGTCATGCTTGTCATTCCAGATGACAAGAGAAACAAAATAAATGTTACAATTTCTTCCTATAAACCTTGCATTGAAACAGTATCTACATTTTACAGGCAGGGAAAGACTTTTCGCTTTGTTCTTAAAAATTAGTTCCCAACTTGTGGTTCTGCGTCCAATTTCCCAACAGCAAAACGCATCAAAGAGAAAGAAGATGAGTGATACCGCGTTGGATTCTGTTGCAGATGTTGAGATTGACAGCTCGGGAAAGTTCAAATACATCCTCATTAAAATATGGCCTAAGGATGATAAAAACAACTCAAAGTATATAGTGAGAGGCGACGGAAGGGTCGACTACCATGGTAAGTTGACACCACTGGGGGCGGGGGGGGGGGGGGGGGGGGGAGGGGTGTCCAATTTTCAGGGTGGGGGAGTTGTTTAGTTTGCAGGTGGAGGTACTGTTCGAGGTACTAGGTACAGGGTGGGGCCACTTAGGCCTAGTTAGTTACTATGGGGCGCCCTCAATTTCTTGAGGGAGCACTAAATGGGCTTTTACTGAATGAAAAGCTCAATTGGGGAGGGGAGGGGCCTTTCCTGGGGGGGGGGGGGAGGCTCTGGGTGATGTTACACATAATACTCGTAATTTATTAATAGATGTTCAGTAAGTTTATAAACAGTGTTTATGTTGATGAGCACTCGATTTGCTTGAACTATGCTCAGGGCATGTTAATCAGACTGCATTGTTGACATAAAAGACCATGGAGGAATAAGAACACTGAAAAGACTATAAGTACGAAAGCAACTAACAATTGGATCAGAAATTTTATACATCTGGCCGTCCAATGTTTCCACACCCTCAAATAATCCAAGAGCATCCTTCCAGAGACGGTGCACAATTTGAAGAGGAACTCCTCTTGAAAAATATTTGTTGCTCCTTATTTTTTTCAGCCGACATTTTTGACGAGGTTGAGCCTAAACTCCGATCCAAGAAGATCAGCTGTGACTGTGAGGGAGGGGGCCGGATACAGCATAAACCTCAGGCTAAGACAATATTGGTCTACGGGTACTCACAGGTAAATGATGGCGCTCATTTGGATTGTTTACAAGCTGCGTGAATAGAGAGATTGCACATACCACAGAGCGCCCTTGCTGAGGGCAAGTCATTGTTCCTCTGTGATACGCACGAGTACGAGTAGACAAACACCTAAAATTTCCATTTTCACAAAATTTAAACACCTGTCCACAGTGAAGATGCTCTGCGCAAACTCTCTATAGCTCAGGACACCCAAAGATTTTATTTCAAAAGGGGAATGGAATGCTCCTAACATTTTTCTTGGGAAAATTTTTGGAAATATGCCAATACATCCTCAGATGTGGTGCTCATTTGCTTATCAGGGCATTACATTCCGTGAGGTGTGCAGTAAACTAATGGAAATTCTGGGTAAGAAAGTGTTATGGTATGTTTTGGAGAGCGGAGCAAGGCTTTTTGTCAAAACCTCTATCACGACGCCTCCAAAATATGTGGAAAAGGCAAGATTTGAAGACAGATGCAAATATCGTAAAATCTTAGCGTGACCGTTTAACCAAGTCAATTAAATGCACTAACTAGTCATGTACTTGATATCGAATTTTCTTCAAGTTGTTTCTTTTTAATATTCCGGAAGTCGTCAAGTTCTTGAGAAGTTCTAAATATCTTGAACTCTTCTTTTCTTTTCTTCCCAGGGTTTTGGCAGAGCAGATCACAGCATCACAGTGGAGAAGTTGAAAGCTAAATATCCCGGCTACACGAGTATCACATTTAACAACGAAGGCTACTGACATTGTGAACTTTAGCTGTTGTGGCTTGAACTTGTCGTTTTAATGGATGCTGTGGAGGGTGGGGTGGGAGGGGCTTCTTGTAAAGAAGTGGGAGGTGAAATATCACATACTGCTGTGCCCTGATGCCAGGGAAGATAGCTTCTGCTCTGGGAATCGCATTTGATTGCTCTTAATAATGTTCACCAAAGTTGGTTTCTTTTTCAAAGTTATGCAGCATTGATATTTACCGTGTTCTTCACGCAAAAAGGCAAGTAGCAAGCTACAAAAAATATGCAAATGATTCATTTGGGCATTATTTGAAAAATATTGGAGTATGGAAATGTTCTTGTATGTATTGTACATGTGGAACTGTGAATCGGAATCTGTTGAACAATTCAACCAAAGTCAAATAACTTTTCAAGTTTGCTAAGTACAAATTTATTGATCGGGTATAAAAATGAAATAAAACAGTACCACTGCAAGCCAAGGTTTTTGATAGTATTTCAGAAAGCATAGAAAATTAAGTTCTTTATGGTACAATTAACATTACTTAAAAATGTTGCGAGTGAAAAACATGATACGATAAGAACCCTGAAATATCTAAAAAAAAAAAAAATTGCCATAAAAATCTTTGGTAACTTAAAAAGTGCACTAAAACCCTCCTATGCAAACATACCTTCTGTGCGAAGTTGTAATTTCAGTAAAAATTCATCAAGTGACTGTTTTTAACAGTTAAGGGCTCACAGCATGCATAAAGCCAAATTGACTGGCTGTGACTGTTTATGTAACTTGATACAGGTGTGCTCTAACTGTAGGTGATTAAGCCAGCTGTGCCTACCACTTGCCTGCTTTTGTGTGTTGACTGAATTTGACTAGTCACTGTGCTTGCTTGAAATATCATCTGATGGATGGTTACTAGCCTATGTAAAAGGCATGGCAGGTGATGAGGATTGATTTTTTTGACTGTCCGTGACAGTTCAGATAGCAGGAGGGTTAGTGAAAGTTAGACGTACAAAACATAATTGCACATTAACAATGCTATAAATTATAGAATTGTATTCATTAACAATGTTGGGCTTACTTCAATGTCCCTTGTGGTAAAAATAAAGTTTGGTATACAGAGATGCCACAGGGTCTGCTTGAAAAAAACGGAACTGGGTCTGCTTGAAAAAAACCGGAACGGCTGCTTGAAAAAACCGGACTTTTGTGTGTGTGAAAAAGCCACTCCGTGTCCGACACAAAGTCCCCGCTGTCATCTTTATCTTGTAGCCAAGCCAAGTTCTGTTTATTTTTTTAATTTTGCTTCTATGGCCTTGAAAGCTGTCGGTTCGTTCAATCACTTTGACTTTTTCCATCCTAATATTTATTCTGCCTACCCGAATTTCCAACGTAATATTCGACACGAAACATGCATGATTCCACAGAACCCCATTCCACAACACTGCTGTCGGTGTACATGATCCTTGCACTACGCGATGCGCTCAACGAAAACATGGTTGGTACCCGCATTTTTTGTATTCACATATATCACTGCGATCGGAAACCACCGATAGCTGAAATGATAGACTTGATTTCCAGGCTGAATGCTACGTGTGCTTAGCACACAACACGCCCGCACGCGGTGAAGCACGCGCGAGGCGCCGTTGTATACTGTGTGCAATTAAGTACGTTGGCCGTTTGTATCGCATGCAGGCTCGGCAACAACATACACAAAGACTGTTTTTAAGACTACTTCAACGAACAACGTTGTGCCATGCGTGCGCCTAAATGTACTAAATCGAGGTAAAAATCAACGCATTTCCACAGTTTTTCTTCTCTTTTTCTGGTTAATTTGACGGCCGGAAAAACCGGAATTTTGTGAGATTTTTTTTAAAAACCGGAATTCCGGTTAAAACCGGAAAAGTGGCATCTCTGGGTATAAACACTGCTTTTTCCAGACTCCGTCAAAAACTCTGGAGTATTATGAAGTTCCGAGTAAGAAAAAATATTTTCGTTAAAATATGTTACCCTCTTATCCAAGAGCCTTGTGCAAGTATTTCAACTACGCATGTGTACAATGATATAGGTCATAGGTCATTCGGGATGGTCAAATGTTTCGGGATAATCGAAGGCACATGAACCACGGGTGCACGACGCTTGCGTGTAAATTACCAGCAGAAAGGGCATGCGCGTAACATCGGCGATGTTATCCCAAATGACCTCGGGTCATTGAAATATGGAACTGGCTTATTAAAATGTTAAATTCCCTTACTAGAAAAATTGGTTAAAGGAACTTGGAATGTGTGGACTTCGAAAACAAAATATTTTGGATCTGGAGGGAATCTGTGTATGTAAAGTTTAAGTGGTAAATTATTCAACCCAATACCAAATTGAGCCATTCTATCCACCGAGTCGTCTCGGAGTTTTTTATCAGATCTCAAACTATGTCTCCTCCTGAAGACAACGGAAGATCGAGGATGTGTTTCGCCTTCTTTAGAGATCACCGAAGACTTCAGAGTAGCATGATGTCTCTGCTTGAGGACATTTCTGTACCTCGGTCACTGCGCTGAGGAAGTACCTGTGGACGTCTGCATTCTGAAAACAGACTGTGCCACCACCACGGAGCTTCTGATGACACTGAGGAAAGAAAGTATGATTGTCAACAAGAGGCAGAATGACTTGATGTGATTAACCAGTTTCTACCCGAGGACATGTACACATGATCTGGCAATGTATATTTTTGCTGGGGCGGGTGATGGGTTAAATCGTCGAGCTTTTCCTGAGTCTCCGGTAGTGGACATATGTACAGGTCAGTGGTTCCATGTGGTTATTGCACACACCGTGTTTTGAACTTAAATTTGGCCGCTGTACATGGCCTGACATTGAAGCAAATATCGCTCCGTGGTGGGGCCTCAGAGTGTTGCAAAATACAAAGTTACAGTGAGAAGTATTGTACAAATGACTCGAGTGTCGATATTTGTGGTGTTTGACTTTACTAAAAAATTTGGCAGATACATCTTAGCTTTTTCAATAATGGTGTTTTTTGGCCAAAATTACTCCTGGCTGCAAGTAGTTAACAGTGACATAGAACACAATCAAAACGGACACTCGTACTGTCTGTTCCTGACCTATAGAGGGCGCAATAGCATATCACATGATACTCACTTGACGGTTGATATCTCCGATGCACGTCCAAACCAGACCTGGCTTAGTAGTCACCGCCCATTTGGAGTGATCGTGGGTTTCTTTGAAGGCTTCTCCCCCGGCCAGATTCAAGCGGAGAATGTTGTTGACCTTCTGGTCCTGGTAACAGGACGAGTTGAGTTTTCCGCAGCCGTTCTGCCATGTCTCTACATACAGGCTGCTGTTGAAGTACGGAGCGAGCCAAGCCGCGTAGAGATCTGAATTTAAACAAAAAATTGGAACTGTTTATTGAAATTCAACGATTCATGGCTTTTTGCATGCAGATGCCCTCTAGGAATGCATTGTGGATATTTCTCTAACAGAGAGGGTACATAAGCAGCAATGATAGACTTACGTCAGGTCCTAATCTCTTGTCAAAAGAGCTTTTGTTTAGGTCTTAGACAATTACAAGAACGTGGACACATGCTGACAACAGATGTAACCATAGCTCCATTTCTGACAAGTGTTCATATGAAGTGAGGCCAGCAATGGACTCAATACAGGGCGAGTCAAAAAAAGCGAAACCCAAATGTCGGGACTATTGATTTAGGGAAGTTCTGCACGTAGCACTTTTAAAATCTAGGATATGAAAGCCCAATTCAAAAGCTTTCTTTTAGTACAAGAATCATTCAAATCACTCATGTACTTTTTAAGTTACGGAACTTTAAACACCACCACCGTTTTAAAGTTCTGTCCAGCAAAAGAAATACATGTACAATTCACACACATCCCTATGTGATTTGTTTTCATTTTCCTGAAAGAACACCTCTTGTGATCCGTGGACAGAACTTTAAAACGGTGGTTGTGTTTAAAATTCCGTAACTTGAAGAGTACACGAATGATTTAAATGACTCTTGTACTAAAAGAAAGCTTATGAATTGGGCTTTCATATGCTAGATTTTGAAAGTGCTACATGCAGAACTTCAGTAAAAACAGATCACAGAAATGGTGTGCGTTCTTTCAGCAAAACAAATACAATTCAAGCACATTCTTATGTGATTTGTTTTCGTTTTCCTGAAAGAACACCTCTTGTGATCCGTGGACAGAACTTCAAAAGGGTGCGTGTGTTTAAAAGTCTGAAAAATTCCAAGCTGAGATCTTAGGGCCCCCCCCCCCTTCCGACTATTAGATGGTCAAAATACCCCGGCGCTTTTAGAGTTAATGCAATCGATCTGCCAGTAAACGGGGCCAAACCACTCTGGCATTATAGAGGGCGCTTTAGTGGTACTTAGTTGGCACCAGGGCCCAATTTCGTGGGTCTGCTAACCACAGCATTCCGCGCTTACGACCACCATTCTGTGCTAACCGCGCTCTAGCAGACAAATTCTGCGCTAACCCTGTCAGCACAGAATCCCAGGAATGAGCTTGTCAATTTAAAAAAAAAAAGTCTGAAAATTGATGAAATGTCTGAAAGATGCATATCTTTCTACACTGATATTGTCTTTCTGTCAGATACAAAAAGTCGGATTTCAGACAGAAGTCTGAAAAATCCCAAGCTGGGAATCCTTAGTTACGGGATGTAAGCATGCGCACGCATATAGCCAAAATTCCCCGCTAACCAGTGAAATGCGCTTACCGTAAGCGCAGAATTTTCTGCTACAGGAAACAGGGATTTTTCACCAACAGTAAGCAGAACCATAAGCTTGCGCCCGGACCTGAGAAATTCTAAGCATACCTCAAACGCTCTAAAGTAAGCCTGGAATTTTTTTGATCTGCGTGCCAATTCACCAAGACGGCATTTCATTCATCATATTGATAGCGCCCTCTACTGCTGTGGTGGGTGGACCGTGCTAGCAAGCAATCAAGGAATAAATCCAAATGTAGTCTTGGACAGACTGAGAGAAATCAAGCATCCAAACCAACCTTAATAATGAAAGGTTTGCGGGAAACACCATGTGCGAATAATTTCTCAACTAAGAGAATGGTTCTGAAAAGAACCAGAGGTATAAACTCGACGTTCCGGTCAGTATGCTCTGACCGTCTTCAGGAGAGTGCCTAAACTCTAAGAAAGTGAATACTTAAGTAGCAAAAGGCTTGTTTTAGGATCCTGACTACTTGGCATCCTCACAGGATGCAACTTCACACTTCATTGACTTCACCTTTTGCTACTTAAGTATTCACTTTCTTAGAGTTTAGGCACTCTCCTGAAGACGGTCAGAGCATACTGACCGGAACGTCGAGTTTATACCTCTGGTTCTTTTCAGAACCATTCTCTTAGTTGAGAAATTATTCGCACATGGTGTTTCCGCAAACCTTTCATTATTTAGTATCTCCACCATGCAAAGCCTCAATTCTTACAAACCAACCTTGTTGAAACTTGCTGAATTTGGCGAAACTGATAAAACTCTGCCCGCCCTTGGACGTCAGTTCTGCAGTCCGATTCCACGGTGGAGATGTCACGTGCTTTCTGTTAGCCGCGGACGCAATGCTGGGGCTGTGGTTTACAAGATGAGAGGGGAGGTTGAAGTCGTAGACCCAGGGGTGATTGTACATCAACTGCTGACCTGGAAAGTATGAAGACAGGAAATTTATGATGTAGGACTAATACAAGTCTAATGCAACAGAGAAGGGGAGGGGCTACAGAATTTTGTTTGTGTTTGTGGCAGGGCCAAATTTAACTTGTATTTTTCAATGTATTTTTGTAGTGTTTTAGTACAGGAGTAGCTCCCCTGAATAAATCTAGCATTTTTATTAGCTTCCCCCTTCTCTTCTATAGAAGTGTGTACCCCTGATTAGCTTTCCCCAGTAACAACTTCACATTGTATGTAAATTACTCCCATGCCATTGGTTCCCCCTGTCCCAAGACCATGTGCCCTGCCACCCTGTAAGACCACAGACCCCTCAGTAGCAGACCAGTGGCAGTAGAGAGGGGACCGTGCATTTTGATTTCCTCTCTTTCCCCCTTGATTTTTCTTGGGTGCGCCTTGCCCTGTGTAAGTGTTTTTTTTTCTGCTTGAGTTATTGAGTTTCTTCCAGAAGTGTCTTGAAAGGTCCACTTATTGGTTTAAGTTTCAGGTTTTAGGTTTTAAGTCTCAGTTTCTTGGTTTTAGGGTTTAGTCTTTGCTCTTGGTCTTGATTTTCGTGGTTTTGGTTTATACCTGGTCATTTTGGAAGTTCTTGTAAATAAATTCTTTTCGTCTTTTTTGTTCAAAATCTAGAATTTGTGTCTGTGTCTCTATTAAATCAATTTCCTCGCGACTTTTCCCTTCAAAGATCCTGAGTTTAGTTTAGTTTCATTAGTAAAACCCCGTAGAGTCTTTAGTTTCTGCGAGTTCCCCATAGTGTGTCATTTTTCCAGGTTACATGTTCACCAAACAACATTCCTGGAAGTTGTAACATTCAGAATGTTTGTTTCACAGTACACTGCTTTATAGTATGGTGCATCAAACTCAAGCACTTGCAAACAGGACTTCACTACATCTGGGGTCAAATCCAACTCGTGGGGATAATGTAGTGCGTCTGTGTCCCACATACCACGAGGCCGAAGGTCGGGTGCTATGTGGAACGCAACATGCACTACATTTTCTGTGTTCCACGAACGCGAGTGGGATAGCGAATTTATCTTCAAGCAAACTTGATGCACAGTATAGATGGAAAACGCATGCGGTACACAAACTTGTCAGCGGTTATCCGCGCGCGTGCGCATCTTGGAATAGTGTGATGCGCAGAGTATGATATCGACCGTGCTAATTTCACACCTTTGTTGCCATGGATCGACCAATCAGGATCGAGGATTCAAGTTTGCTTGAAGATTTGAGTGATTGGCCTCCAGTTGCAACATCCATTCACATGGAATTTACCAATTTTTTCAAACTGGTCGTAGCCGTAGGTAACGCACAGGAACGTCTGCCCATACGTCCTAGCAGAGTTTGGCCAGTTGTAGTACATGGATGCGTTGCTAGGGAAATGAGGTGTGCTGTGAATCAGCCAAAAGCCGCTGGTGCCATCAAAGGCAACATCTCCTGGTGGAAAAAAACACGAAAGCAAGCAAGTTTGAATGTGACTTCTCAATACCTGGAAATAGGAAAATAGGAAAAAAATACTGCAAGTTAAACTTGCGCGATTCCCCCCGGCATGCTGGCAGTATTTATACAGTCAGTTAGTAAGCACACTTTTCAGTTGACCAAACCAAAATCAACGATGACCTCATTTGACCCCTAGATGACCTTTGACCTCAAATGTCTCAAGGCATCTTACGTCCTCCTACCCAAAGATTATTGTCACCAAGTTTGGTTGAGAGTGAAGTCTGACTTTTCAAATGACAGCATTTTTCAGATTCCAAAACCAAAAACAATGACCTCACTTGACCCAGAGATGACCTTTGACCTCAAATGTGTCAGGTCATCTGAAGTCCCCTTACCCAAAGATTATTGTCACCAAGTTTGGTTGAGATTGTAGTCTGACTTTTCACATGACAGCACTAAACAGTTCACCTAATCAAAACGGAACACACGGACAGACCACCCAAGATTCCCCTTTTCTTGGCTTTTAAAAATAAAAGATATCATAATTTGTATTCAAAGAGCTTTCTAATACAGTGTAACACTTGGAGGGTGCAGGAGATTATGACCCCGGGAAGATTGATAAGATTAGGAAAAGAAATTGCGAGGAAAACAACCATAAACGTTAAGGAATGTAAACAATGAAATAAAAGTGTATATGGGTCATTCTGTACATTTATGGTCCAAAGTGTGACATTTTCCAATCCCTGTTACCTTAGACCTTTGTAATTTTTCATTCAAATATCAGTATAAGAATGTTTGTGTGTTAGGTAGCTAAGGTAGGTCGTTTGATTCTCATCAGGCCAAAAAAAAAACAGTCTCCGGTTTCTGGTCTGCGCGTGCCTCACCGTAGCCATGCGCGTAGACAAAATAAATTAAAAAAAATTCAATGTAAGATGATGCCAAACAGCCAAACTCACTGCTTTTTAAAATTTGGCCAAATGTTTTTCTGACTCAGAGACAATTCCTGTTACTGGGCCCGTGAGGAGACCTTTTGTTGTGTCATTAATTATACCTTAGGGAGACACCACACCGGACATTGGAGAGATTGGAGACATTTCAATGTCTCCCTAATGTCACAACTCCTGTCTAGAGACAAAATTTTACCGTCGCAAATAGGCTAGATCGATTGCCCGTGGTCCAAAACGTAAAGATACCCAAACTTGTTGGGGTAGGATAAGGGGACATTGGGGTAAGGGGTCATGAGTCAGGCTGACGTAGCGGTACTTTCTTCGCCTTCCACCGCTGTGACCCGGGTTTGAATCCCGCCTGGGCCAATATGTGGATTGGGTTTTCAGTCCCTACCTGATTCCGTGGGTTTCCCCCAGAATATTCTTCTGGGCTTTTCCTCCCACCTCTAAAACTGTCATTTCTTCTCATTGTCTTCTCTCCACAGGTTTCTTCAGGCTTGCGAGCTACAGTGCCTAGGGCGCTTTTGAGGAATCCTTGGTTTCATTACCAGAAATGATTAATAATGATAATAATAATAATAATTAAAGTTGGAACAATTTTGTGCACAACCATTTCCCGAAATTATAATTACCCTTTGTATGTCCATAGTATTCTGTTTTTTCTTTGCTATCCGGCTTTTCATCATTGTACATCAAGTAAGCTACATCCTGAAACAAATGAAAAAAAGAAGAAAAAAAAGAAAAGCTTATTTTCTTCTTCTGGGGAGGAATCCATGTGAACATCACGTTTCGGACATTTAAAAAAAAAAAAATTTGAAAGTCAGAGAATTTCTCATAGAACGCAGTAAAGTTCACGGCAAACTATTTTCACTGTTGACAACATTTATGGTAAACAAAATTACAAATTTCGAATACAGACAAAAATATAATTTAAATCTTAAAATTAATGTGGCCTGACGTTGCGAACTTAGCAAGTTCTTCTTCAGAGGCTAAAACAGAAAATATAATTTATTATGATTAATGTGAAGTTTGGTATAAGTGTGATTCCTCTATCATAAACAAATTGGGAGGAGATCTTCTGATGTAACCAATACTGATATGATTGATAAGAACATTGTTGATGATTAATTAATATGACATTGTCAAATAAATCAATTTGGAAAAGAGAAAGCTTGTATTCTTCTCCCAACCAATTCAAGCAAGACCTAAGAGAGACCATACAAACACCTAAAAAAAAAAAATTAACCAACAAAATAAGTGCCAGCGAACATGTCCAGGCAGGCATTGATCACAATTGCAAGCCCTTTCAGTTTTCTGATGAAAAGTGGGCGGCAAAGGCCATCCTTAATATGACAAAACAAACAAAATCATAGCAAGTCGAATCAATATGACCGCTTCAAAGATTGATTGTTTGTCCTGGGAGCAATCAAGTTGCCCTGAGGACAAGATGTTGACGACTCATCATGCTTGATGAATTGCCTCATGTGGTTAGTGACTCCACCTAATGAGGACCCCAAGGATGCGGGTTGCCATGGTAACACATTTTGTTCTTTAGCGAAACAACAGGAGGTACTGCAGGTTTTTGAGACAATACAGATGACAAACTCACTGCCTATTGGTTAGAGCTGACACTGTCAGAGTCTTAAAAGCATCCGCTGCGATTGCTCGATTCTTCGCAATTCGTGTCTTGAAGATTTATGAATAATAAGTCCTCTGACATTTTGAAAAGTCAGGAGGCAGTAAGATAAGTGTTGTGCCTTCAGTACTAAGCAACCACAACAACAAACTTTTGCATGGTAATGCACTCTTGATGAAGGATACAACATAGTGATGAGCTGAAACTTCCAACAAGTTCAGAAAAGCAGCTCTGTGGATTGGCGTGACAAAGTCATTGATGTAACGTTTTTTTTTTAAAGTTCAAAATTGTTGGATCATTCTGGAAGATGGCCGATTATCCACCAAATGTCACCGACACTCTATTAAATGAAGAGACACCAAGATGCACGTTCTGCGCCTACTTCAGTTACACCCAACGCCAAGTCTTAGCAGCGATTCTGGTCGTCATTTCATTCCTCGGAGTTGTGGGCAATGTTCTCGTCATCGCCGCCGTCTTGTTATCTCGTAAACTCCGTCGCGTGACAAACTGCTTCGTCTTCAGTCTCAGCGTTGCTGACTTACTGACGAGTCTTTTTCTGCCTTTCTCGGCGGTGGCGATCTTGAACGAGCACACCTGGCCGTTACCCACAGTCCTTTGCTCCCTAACTGCATTCGTCTTTCTAACCTGCCTTGGGTGTAGCATTAATAGCTTGGCCTGTATCGCAGTCAACCGCTACGTCCTGATCACTAAGAAACGAGAGACATACAGGAGGCTTTACAGCTCTCGGCGGACCACGTTAGCAATTCTCATCGTATGGATGATTCCACTCTGCACTACCGGCATTCCAGCAATCACTGGTTTCATTCAACTGGGCTTCGAACCCAAGTATTCCTCTTGCACTTGGGTTCTGGCCGAATCCTCTCCAAGATACGTCTTCGTCCTCTTCGCTATTTTCTGTCCCATCCAACTGACGACTATCATCTTGCATTACATGAAAGTTTTCCTCCACATTCGTAAGCACACCAAGGCGGTAGGACAAACACTGAATGTTCCGTCAGGGAGGCTTACCATATCGGAGAGTGTCTCAAACTCGGGTCTGACTAACAATAGGAATAACCACGACTACGTAGCTCCGGAGAGGAAGAAACGAAACAAGCTTAACATTCAGGTCACAAAGAATCTGTTTGTAGTGGTTTGCGCCTTCGTGCTGTGCGTCCTGCCTTACACTTTGACTCTTCTTTTACCCAACAGTCGTCAAGTTTTCCCTTTTGCCGCAACTATTCTCATGATGAATAGCTGCATTAATCCCATCATATATGCCATCAAGCATCCACAGTTTAAGACAGTTTTCCGTTGTATAGTGACCAGGAGATTCAGAGACATCTCGTAAGACCGACTGTTTTGCAAAAAATTGAGAACATAGAAAATTACCTGTACGTGTTAAAGTGTTCATTAGATTAAAGGTAGAGTACATCATTTGTCATTTGTGCATTTTTTTCGTTGAAGCAACAAAAGTCCTCACAATCTATTAAAAGAAGGGTGCTTAACAAGCTATAGATGGATGTTTTAATAAATGTTTTCCCTATTTTGGGGAACTGCAACGCTCTAAAAAAAAAAAGATTTCATTTTTGGTCGCGTTGGCAAACAAGCAGATTCAACAAGTTGGGCCAAAAATAATAATTTGGAAGTTGTGAAGTATTTAAGTATTCCATAACTAAATGTGGGTTTATTTTGTTGGTTCTGTCTCAATCAAAAGTGAATAACTATGATATTGAAAAAAAATTAAAATTTACGGACAGCACATCTTTATGTTTGCCAAAAACTCACCAGCATTTTGAAAACATCATATACCAGCATCATATTCTTATGACTTGATTAAGCCTCTTACTCAGTGGTTCAGAATGCCCCAGAGGAACAAACATCCCACAACGGATGTGACTACTTTGTTTGAGATTTGCCCATCCACTCACTTGATTAAAGCTAATAAATGGATGCAGTCGTGCCTCCGTGTTTTTTTTTCTTTTCTTAATACTTATGCTTTTAGTGGTTTCAAGGGACATACTTAATCTGTCAGTGGTGATTCACGAATGATGGTTGAAATTAGGTGTAAAGATGTAATGACGTTACGGCTACCTTGAAAGTAAACTTTTGTATCTTTTGGAATTACTGATCAGCAAGTGCTTGCCATGAGGACCGTTTGAGCAATGTGTCACAGCTATGATCTGACTTCAATTGTAGCCACAATTGTGAGACTCGCACTACAGGGAAGACTTTTTGCTCCTCACTGCATCTTCAAGAGACGGTCAATTCTCGTACCAAGCACCATCCTGAGTTTACATGAATACCATTGCAGACAACTGTTATTTCATCCTCATTCAAACAATGAATGGAGCTTGGCAATCATACTCTGTGTGCTTCATGTAATCTGCCCAGAGCCGCCCATGTCATTGTTGGAACAGATACATGAAACCAGCTTGTGTGAAAGTGCCTGTGAACTTATCAAGTGGTTTGAACTGATCAACAATGGATGAGCAAGACAACGAGACATGTTGTCAGTCCATGTTCAGCTCCTACTCACGGCGTCAAGGGATTGTTGCGCTGATTGCCGTTATGGCCATACTTGGAGTGTTTGGTAACTGTTTGGTCATAGCTGCCGTGACTTTGTCCAGAAAGCTCAGGAACCCAACAAACATGTTTGTGTTCAATTTGAGCATCGCCGATCTACTGGTTTGCGGTTTTGTCTTGCCTGGGCAAGCCACGGCACTTCTCGCTGTCGATAATTCAATGCCAGATATCATGTGTTCGCTCACAGCTGTCTTACAGATTCTAAGCACTGGGTGCAGCATCAACAATCTGGCCTGCATTGCCATTAATCGCTATCTCATCGTGTCCTGTCGTAAAGCGACATATCTAAAGTTGTTCAACCGCCGACGAACTAGTCTGGCAATCATCCTGACCTGGTTGATACCCGCCTGTGCAATGGTCGTCCAGCAAGTTGTTGGCAATGTCAAACTTGACCGCGAATCCATGTTTTCATACTGCAGTTGGGTCGATGCCAAAACTTCCGATGCGAAAATCAAACCTGTTGTGGTTGGGGCTTTCCTTCCGGTTCAGTTTGTCCTGATTTGCTTTTGTTACGGCAGGCTGTTCTATCGCATTCGTACCCACACCAGGAGAGTCCAACACTTAGGTGGAGCCATCAGAGTGGCCACTGTGATGGAAGCTCAGCATCGGTGGGCAGGACACCGGCCTGCGGGACACCGACCCAATCAGAACCAGCATCAAATCAAAGTGACCATGAACCTATTCTGTGTGGTTTGTTCCTTTGTGGTGTGTTTTACACCTTACATTTTTCTCTTTGTGTTCAAAAGGTCTCTAGCATTCACCCTTGTCGCCGGTGTGTTGGCGCTGGGCAATAGTTGTATCAACCCCATGCTCTATGCTGCAAAACATCCCGAATTCAAGAAAGTATTCCACTGCATCATTAGAGGCAAATTTGCACAGATACCTGGCAGGGTTACTTTCAAATGTTTCAATTAGTTCTTTTGTTTCTTTGGAGTGACAGGGTAAGATTTCAATTCAGGCGATTCACAATGCAGAGCGCCACCAATAGTTTGCCAAGGGGAGTTCATTTTTTTCCAGTGCATTGTGGGAAATGGTCGACAAATTCGCAGCGCGGGACATTTTAACTTGTTCGTTTTTCTGGTCAGTAGTTTCATAAGCGTATGATTCGAGTATATGTTTGCCCTTTTCTTTTCTTGTTATCAATATCGTGGTTTTTTGGTAAGGCAGCAGAACACTATGCCCCAATCTAAAACAAATTAGCTCAAGTGTCTACTAACACTCATGCAATAGGCCATATTTTGTCGACCGTAAACTTGAAAAGTAAGGCAAACTCTTGGTGGCGCGCACTGCATTGTGAATCGCCCGAATTGTATATGTGGTTTTGCCCTTCACCGATGTATTTCTTATAAACACCGTGTACTCGGTGTTGTCCAAGGGCTTGCGAGAAAAAATTCACAAGCTGACTCTGGTGGGACTCGAACCCACGACCTCCTGCTTACTAAAAAAATATAAACATGTAAATAAGTTCTCCGTGTCTTATTTTACCATAATTTAGGCTTAAAAAAAATATTCTGTACATGTATGTACGGAGAGTAGTATTGTAATTGTATTGTAACATTTTAATTATTTTATTTCCAATATTATATTTCATCTATTCCAAGGTTTCAAAAATTGTACATCGAGTCCACTTGTCTGGAACAACTGCCTAAAAGGAAGCACATTGTATTTTGTAGACCAAATCAAATTTATACGATTCAATCAACATAGCCTTTCCGCTTCCATTATGATACACATGAAAAATAATGACCACAAAATCAAAAGATTGCGATCAAAATTTTTAAAAAGTGCAAAAGGTGTAAACTGCAAAGTGGAAACTGTACTACTTCGAAAGGATTGTTTCTTGTGTTTTGTACAACTACTAATGTCCACTATAATACTAATTTGGGAGGCTAATCATCCTTACTCGCAGCTGAGAAGCTGAACTGCGAAGGACGTGGTCGAGCTGTAGGCATGTAAAGGCGCCTTTGGGAGTCAGCCATGGACTATATGACCACGGAGCACAGCCACAGATCAACAGTGTTTGATTTTTTTTCGGAGGGAGGAAATCCGGAGAGCCCGGAGAAAAACCCTTGTGGCACAGGAGAGAACCATCGCACAACTCTACTCACATAAGGTCCTAGCTGGGGGTCGAACCAGGGCCATTATGGTGAGAGGGAGCACTTAACGCACTAGCCACCCATGCCACCATATTATACATGTAAATGTACATTGTATGTTATTACAAAGAGCAACAACAGAGCGGTTAGGCCAAAAAAATTTTTTTTCGGTCTCTGGTCAGACCAAAGTTCCGGAATTGACGCGGCGACGCGGCTTTTTTTTTTTATTTCTTCAAGCTTGGATTGTACAGACAAGGTGGGGTACTATTTTGCTTTTTTGGTGTCCTCATGTACCTTGGTGTCCTCCATAATTTGCCTTGGTGCTCTCGATCATTTGCCTTGGCGCAATTTCCCATTCCTTGGTGCTCTTTGGTAAAAAAAAATTGATGAGGTGCGGCAATAGAGGGCGCTGTTGGAGATACGGCGGAACATTTTTGAAAAAAAAAGGATTGACGCGCATGATTAAAATCGACGCGCGCGCTGACCAGAGACCGACTTATTTTTTTTTTGTGCCTTATCATCAATTTCATTCAATGTCGAAATTGAGTTGGGACATTAACTTCAGCGACAGGAAAATGTAATCAATTACGGGCAAGTGCTCCATTACTAAAGCAAACTTGATAAGTATTTTTTTTTTGTATTAAACATATATTCTTATTTTGATCAATTCAACTTTGTGTATTACCCTAACGATCATGAGCTGCTCATTACACAAAGAGCAAATTGTCATTAGGATTTATCAACATTTGAATCTGTTTAATGAACTCAAAATAAATAAGGTCAGGTAAAACAAAATTGATGTCTTGTTGCTCAGAGTACTTTTCCAGTTCAACGACACCTGATGCATTTGTTACTAGTTCAAAGAAACATGCAAAGGGCAATTCCACGGTTACTCATGTTACATTTTTGATGTACTTTTGAGTTTCCTTGGGCTGTAATTACCTTACTGAAAAGGTTTAATAGCTGTTAACTCTTTCAGTGCCCGCAAAATTTGAAAAGTTTAACCCTAAAGTGCCCAACTTCGAGCGTTTTTGTTAATTGTTTGAAATTCTGTAAAAAAAAAGTAAATAAGTTTTACTCACTTAATTTGTTGTTGTTGCTCTCTGGTATATCCTTGATATATTGGAAAGTCAAAAGTAGTCACAAACATAGTGATACACCCTGAAACACTGGCCTGAACACAGGGGAATTCCACACTTTTTGCAGAAAATACAAGATTTATTGCTGCGCCCTCTCGCAAGAACTCGAATGAAAAAATAAATACAGGTCGTACATGCATTGAAAATGGTACCATTAGAAAGAGCGAGAGCGCCCCCTTTTGATAACATATTTACTCTACCTCGTACATGTACGAGGTTTGGCAATTTTAAGTACGAACATTTACGAACATTACCTCGTACATGTACGAGGTTGGCGCTTTTGTACTAACAAATATACCTCGTACATGTACGAGTTTGGCACTGAAAGACTTAATCCCCATGGTAGATAGAGTAGACCTAGACCTACCTAAGCACCAAAGATGACATCCAGAAAAATGTATGATAAACAAGACGCACAAAATTGGTTACTCGCGTTACGAAATTGTAGCTTTGTGTACAGATATATATTAAACTTTTCTTCATTGTCCTTGAGCAAGTTCAAGTTTTTACTTGTTAATCATGTTAAATAGCTTGTTTGGAAAAAAGTAGTGGCCAATATTGTTTCAAAACTTTTTGTGGGTAATTTTGAAGGACTACATTTGTGTACGTTCACTTCATATGCACTTTTGACAAGGAGTACCTTGTGTGACAAAAGCAAAATGGCACCCTCTTACATGTATTGATGAAAGGATCTGCTATATAAAAAATTACCACTTTCTTGTCACTTCCAATGAAAACAAGTATTAAGATCTTGTATGTATTGTTGCAACACATACATGTAGTAATCATCTTGTGCATAAAAACAAGATGAGCTGAATTTCCACTGCATGTTTCCTTTAAACAATGTAAATAAATGGTTTAAAAAGCTAAGAAATGGTTTGGAAATCTGTTAATTTTCCCAGGCCTTTTGTAAAAGTTTACAACTGCTTACAACATATGAAAATACTTCAAATAGGTCTGAAACAATGATGAATATGTAAGATATGAAAAAGTTTGGAGAATTTGTGTGTCTTTGTAAAATATCAAAACCTAAGACAGATAGATCTTTCCATGTGCTCATAGCCCCCTCCCATACCCCAAAAAACCACCCAAACCCCCAAAACAACACAACCCCCCCCCCCCCAACCAAAAAACACATTTTTCAGACTGTGACGTCATAGGAATAATAACACAACGCCCCTGGCAGTAAAAATAAAAACAGTGTTATGATGGTAATAACATTACAATCTGAAAGAGGGATTACTTTTTTGCTAAGTGATTTTTTTTAAGAGGGCAGGGAGCACAAGAAAAGGTTTTTCTGTATCATGTTTTGATAAAACCCCAAAAATCTTCCAAATTCTTTATTTGTCATTCATGGAACATTTGCAGATTTTCCTATTTTTATAAACCTTCATTCCACACGCGTAGTCTTGGCAGTCTATCTGGTCCTGCATTCTCACTGCTATAGACCTAGGCACGTTGCTGGTATCTCAGCCATATAGGAGGAAGGTCTTTGTTATCAAATTATTTAAATAATCATGCGCGGATCCAGAGGGGTGGTTTTGGGGGTCAAAAAATACACACCCCCCCCCCCCAGCTCCGTCAAAAAAAAAAAAATTCATACAAATTCCTAAAAAATGCCCCCCCCCCCCCCCCCCCCCCCCCCGGCTGTGACACCCCCCAAAAAAATAATACTGGTATAATGTCTGCCTGTTCAAAATACGGTACACCATTCTGTAATCTAGTGTTAATAATCGTCGAATTTGAACAGCACCCCCTATTGAAACATGGTACCAGCGCCCCCCACCCCCCCCTCATCGTTAGTACAGTGGCTAATTGGTACAGGTGGTTTGAGTCTCAAGGTAGTGGAAGTATGCTGTTCCGTTTTTTTGGTTGACCACCCTGTTTAGTGTCATCTCTACTCAAGTGATATGCTTCAGGGAACACAAGACACGCTTCAACCAAAACGTAGCACAGAATGCAGGATCTGACCCTGTACGCTTCATTGATCATCAATTACGGACAAGGGAACTCGCAAGCTCCCTCCACAACTTCTAAACGGCAGTCGTTTGATCAACAAAACCAATCAATCAATCAGTGATGTAATTGAATTTCTCAGAACCACACGCGTAACGGATGGCCACACATCATGTTTATGGTGATTGTGAAGTTAGGGGCCCCTCTTTCCTTGGAGTCCCTCAGACAAAATAATTGAGATTTTGAGCTTTAAATTGTTGAATTCCTTGTAAATTTTGTTGTATTTTTTTAAAGGCTTTTTATACCTGAGTTGACACGATTAAGAAAGTATCTTGTAACCATGAGGATTCCTTCCAAATCCTTCCAAAAACAACAGATGGATTTTTCAGTATCACAATGCCGACGCAACAATTTTTGGTTTAACCCTAACCAACCCAACTCCATCAAAATCCATCCCCCCATTTTGGTGGACTTTGGGGGACGTGGTCCAGAAGGCCTGGCGTGACTAAATATTGATGGAGTATGATGGACTTGGGCCTAATGGCCTGAAGCAGTGCTAGGGGTATTCGATTGATTTTGCCTAGCTTCCTGTACTGCCATTGTGACAAAAGCCATGTGTAGCAAGTCCATGAATGTCAACCAGTGTGTCAGTGGTGGATTCCATTATGTCATGTACAGTTTTGTATAAGACGCACAGTGATTGATGGATTTTGATGGAATTGGTTCAGTTCCTAGCAAAAGACGCTAGGGATTTAGGGTTGTAGATGAGATATTTTTGAGGGATTAGGCCAAAAAAAAATAAGTCGGTCTCTGGTCAGCGCGTGCGTCGATTTTAATCATGCACGTCGATCTTTTTTTTCCCCAAAATGTTACGCGGCAGCTCCAACAGCACCCTCTATTTCCGCACCTCCTCAATTTTTTTTTACCAAAGAGCACCAAGGAATGGGAAATTGCACCAAGGCAAATGATCGAAAGCACCAAGGCAAATTATGGAGGACACCAATGTACATGAGGACACCAAAAAAGCAAAAGAGTACCCACCTTGTCTGTACAATCCAAGCTTGAAGAAAAAACAAAAAAAAACAACAAAAACCCCCCCCCCAAAAAAAGCCGCGTGGCCGCGTCAATTCCGGAACTTTGGTCTGACCAGAGACCGAATATTTTTATTTTTTTGCCTTACATATATTAACTCACCTGGCTTCCATGATTCTGGTAGATTTGTTGCAGCGTGTACGCAATAGCGTGATTGGTAGCGTTCAGCCACACCGGGGATAGATTTAGGACGGGGTTGTGGACGTCCATGTACATCTGACCGTAGCCCTCTTTGACCTGTGGCTCGTGACTGCTGTAATCCTTGGGAAGTTTGTACACAATAAACCTGGAAAACAGGAATTTATAGAATGATTGAATCTTGTGAGACACTCTAAAAAAAAAAATGGTGTGCGCATATAATGTGATTTATTTAACCAGAACAATTCCCAGCGTGTTTCAAAAAATTATGGATTGATATACATGTATTACAATTATGAACTTTAACATTGTCAGTGTGGTTATATCACTAAATGTACCATTAGGGGGACACCTTATTGTTATTTTTTCTATAATAACTGTCACATAACTGTCTCCCTAATGGCACAGCCCCCCTTTAAAGGCAAAATTTTATTGTCGCAATTAGGTTATATTTGTTGCTTGTGGTCTAATTAGTAAAAATACTGAAATTGGTGGAAAAAAGACAAGGGAAATTTGGGTAAGGGCACATTTAAGTTGGAAAAAAATCAAGTCACAAGTCTATGGGAAAGTCTCCCTTATGACCCATTTCCTGTTATTACTATTATTACTTTCATTATCATTAATCATTTCTGGTAATGAAACCAAGGATTCCTCAAAAGTGCCCTTGGCACTGTAGCTTGCAAGCCTGAAGAAACATGTAGAGAGAAGACAATGACAAGAAATTACGGTTTTCAGGGGTGTGAGTGACCACTGATAAAAAGAGCTGAAAACACCTGAAAAAGGTGTAAAAAAGCTGAACTTTGGAAATCTCCTATACTTTTGTACACAGCAAGTGAGGGGGAAAAAAAGCTGAAACCCCAAATAAACAAAAACTGAAATCAGCTTTAAAGCTGAGATTTCACACCCCCGAGTTTTAAAGGTGGGAAGAAAACCCCAGAAGAATATACTGGGGAAAACCCACGGAATCAGGTAGGGACTGAAAACCCAATCCACACGATGTGGCCGGGGTAGGAATCGAACCCAGGTCACAGCGGTGGAAGGCGAGGTAAGAACCGTTACGCCAACCTGACTCCTATGATACATGTACACTAACAGTGTAATTTTAACTTACTAACTGCATTGTTTTTGGCTTATTTTATTTTGATACAACCTGAAAAGCAACACAGTTTGTGTTAAATCTTTTCTGTCTGAGATCCGGGCACAATTTTGCACATGATCTTCTGTCAAGTTTGTGTTGTTTCCTCATGCATACAGTGGAAAGAGCCAGGGTAGTTCAATGTTTTTATAATATTATTTGTTTTTGGTCGACTTAGTTTCGTTTTCACACTCATACAATTAGTCAGAAAGAGCAAGGTATGAGAAGATATATGGAAGTTGAGTTGTAGTTGGGGTCGGGGGTACAGGGAAGAGGGTTGACAGAATCGTGAGTGAGCAAACAAAATAAAAAAGGTGTAGAAAACATTTTCAGCCAACGGATAACTGTGCTCGATGTGTGACGTACCAATCGACTGGTTTCCCACTGGCATCCATACAAGTCACTGCTGCATCACTGGTTCCCACCATGATCACCAAAGTCATAGCCATCAAGCCAACAATCTCCTTCATGATCGGAGTGCCTGCCATGATGGACACTCACGGGCTACAACCTTTGATATACAAAAACAAATAAACACATAAATAATAAGTAAACAAAATCTTCCTTTTAATAATTACGGACTAGTACTGATAGGTGGAGAAAGGTCAAGGATTCCAGCAGAATAAAATAAAAGTACAATAAGGCCAAGTGCAATTTTTTTGCTTCCCCTTTCCCCCCCGCAAAATGGCAGATTTTACGAGATATGGCAGATGGACTTTCCATTTTCTTGACTCTTTTCCAGATACAAAATTGTGTCCATCCAAAGGAACTGTAATCGTTTCTACACAGCTACAATTTTGTTGGAAACAATAAAAATGCAATATAGGTCTATTAACAATAAATTCGCAAAATATATTACAAATGTAATGAATGAATAAGGCAGTATTGTTTCAGCAGCGTCGCAAAGGGTTACCTGCGCAGATTATGGACGATCGAAGATATCTTTTATTTCTCCATGATTAACATTTCATTAGCAAGGAATAGAGGGAAATAATGTAGGCTACTCAGTAGGGGAAAGAATGTAGCATCCTGACGCCAGTCAAGAAACAATTAAACAAAATTGGAAATGTTTTCAGTCACAGATTCATGTCTTTTCAACATTTTGGCAATGACTGACCTTTAGTGAGATAATAGTGAGATGCAACATTCTTTCCACAAAGCAAAGGACTTACCTCTGAAATCAGCGAAAATGCAGAGAAAACTTGAACTTCTTACGGAATCCGCGCAGCCAGAGAAAAATACGGAAAGAATATTTTATTGCAATATCAGTTTACGCAATGACAACTTCCCTATTACACCCCGAGAAATCACGAAGATCATGCTTTGTTAGCTAGGCACATGACGAGGGTCATATATCAACCAAATAAAGTCAACACTTCCCCGTTTGCTGTCCAAATTCAACATTCACACGTTCAGTTTCGTTTCCATTGTGCTTGCTTGGCCCGCGCAACAGAAAAACATATTTGACAGGCTGTTTGTTCCCATCCTCTCCTTATGACGTACCCCACCACAACAATGAGACAAAAGGTGGAACCAGACTATTAGTCTAAGTACTACTGCACGTGATAATTGGCTATTTATAGAAAGGACAGCCAGCTGAGCTGAGCTCGTTTAATTATTAAAGGGGCGCGCAACTTGGTGATGGGTAACTTTCTACATAATAAGCACAATTTCATTTAACTTGGTGATGGGTAACTTTCTACATCATAAGCACATTTTCATTGAACTTTCTGTTGTGAAACCACACAACCAATCTCAACTTTCATTGAAACTTCTAACCCCCAAAATGAATTAATATTTAGAGCTTTTGCAAAAACATGGTTTGATCCAAATTCAGAAATATAGTGAACAGAATCCAGACAATATGTTTAAGGTTAAGGTTTCAGGACAGAGTTAGTTAAAATGAACATCTGGAGTGGAAACTACTTCAAGTTTAAATCTGAAAAACTATGTCACGAAAAGTGGGTCAGAGTTTACTTAAACGAAACGGGAAATGAAGGGGGAAAAAAAAATATCAAATGCAGGAAGTTAAGTACCAAAATGAAAGACAGATATTTACAAATTCATGTAAAAGCCAACATTTTCAGACAGTGAAAAAATGGTTCCCGGCTTTATTTCAAAAATATTTACACCTTTGCTTTCCAGAATACAGATCTGAGATGGCATACAAAATATGGTTCATAAATACTATGATTCTGTACATTCATAGAATACACACACGACAAACAAAGAATGGATATAGGAATACACAATGGCAAAATTACATATGGATTTATGAATATCGAGTACAAATCTTCAGCATGCAGCTTCGGAATAAAAAAAAATAACTGTAAAAACGAGCTCATAAAACATGCGAACAAAACCGTATCAATGACTGAATTATTAAAATGAACAGTTTTCACTTTTCAGGAATTGAATACATCTCAACTTTTAAGCAAAATCGGTAAATTTCAAAACAGTATTGAAACTAAGGCCAAGTTCTCTTCCAAAGTTATTTAAAAAAATATCCGTGGCTAAGCACCACCAGCCTGAATTTTAAGGCTAATTTAAAAATTCATCTATTGCAAGAAGACACAATCATGACTTAGGCAAAAAAATTGTCCTAAAAGAAGAAATTTAGAAGCCAAACCTTTCAAAGCTTGAGACTCTGGATATATCCTCCGCAAAGAGGAATTCTGTTCTTTCTCCAATTCCTAAAAGAAAACCGACACCTGTAAAACCAATAACTGTAGTAGCCACAGAGATGTTTCTTGTTTACATTAATTCTCTCCGTGTATATTATAGCCTGGAAGTTCCTGGTAAAATAAACATGTAATCTTTGCATCGTAATTCCTATACTTCCTCTTTTGATCACAATGTTATCGCTCTGTGTAAACAAAAAGCCACACTTCTAAGCTTTGCAATGACTGTTTTAAACAATGAACATTTTAAGTACAAAATTCAAACAAGAAACATGTTAAACTTTGGAAATGTTAAACCCCCCCCCCAAAAAAAAAAAGTTACAGAGTTTTCTTAAATACTTCTTTATTCAATTGATAAGTAGAATTTTTTTGAACAAAATATTGTGTAAAAAGGTCTTTGTTTTTTTTTATCTATCATATATCTTTCAATTTACAACTTTTCTCCTTTACAAAATTTTTCTAAAAAGCAAGGCAAATTGTTATTGCCAACATTATATTATTGCTTCATATTTGTACAAACTCTTCCTGCAAAACTATCAGGTTTTAAAGATACTTAAAAACATGTAGAAAAATTCCGGTAGTATACGAAAGGGTATTGCAATGCTAAAGAGCAGTCAGGCATTTGATGGCAATGTTCACAAAACGGGAACCTTTCGGGGAATAATACACATGCATGTATAAGGCAAAAATATCAAAACATTCACTTTTCAAAAAAAGAATGTAACATTAAAAATTACCCTGCACACAATGCACATTTGGTGGAATCTCTCTTTGAAATTTTAAGTACACAAAATTTGTTTCATAAAAAGCCTCTTGTTACAAAGCCTCTAATTTATTAATGCCAATGTACATGTATTTGAAAAAAAAGTGAGAAGGCACAAATCCATGTTTAAGTAACTGCAGCCTCTTTTTTTAAAGTACAAATGTAAGGTCAGTAACAACAATATTAAGTACAAATATAAACTGAAACAATGGGGTATGTCACCACACTTTTCAGAATTTGCCCCAACCACAGCCATTAAATCAGAAGGTTTGTTGAAAAGTTAGGCCACAGAAAATAAAACAGCATCTGTGAATGAATTGAAGTAGGAATGCGGCTCATTTGGCATGACAGGAATAAGTACAAGGAGCCTAGATGAAAGCTCTTCGTGATACGTCGTTTTCCCTTTTTTTTTGTTCAGAAAACTACAGTATTTACTACACCCATAAAATTGGGTACACATCATTTATTATAAAAAAAAAATAATTTCGCAACAATTTTTGGTGGTTGACAAAAGTTAAGAAGTCGTTTTGAAAATGGAGGATGCATCACAAGACTGTTAAAATGCTCAGAGGTGTTGCATGTGTGTATTGTACTATAGGATATTATGGCTTCAAATACGCACAGAAGTGGACATAGCCTATTGAAGAAATGTCTTGCATGGTGAGTGCTACAAGAGTGGACTGCGAGGAGAAACTGCACTGCATTGGTAGAAAGCTTGCACACGCGCATGGAGATTGTGTGAGAAACATCATGTTACAGTCGACTCTCATTAGTTCAAACACTGTTAATACAAATTCTGGTTATAACAAACACAGAGCCTTGGTCCCGACTGTGCATTTATGTGTACAATGAATGGGACTGATGTTCCTCTTAATACAAAATTCTGATATAACAAACATTTTGGCTAGGTCCGGCTGAGTTTGTATGAACGAGAGTCGACTGTATCCGTAAATTGGTCCATGATATATTGCTAGATGAAGAACGAACTATATTGCCCCAATTAGTAAATGCTATACGGAATAATGCTGAACAAGTTATATGTGATCTGGATGCAACTATTAACAAAGCAGAAGCTGGAGAGGGCAATTTGGTGGCACATTCACTGGGCATGTGTGGCTGGACTTAACGACCCGTGTGATTAAGCTTATTCTCTGCAGTTCCTTTCAGCCACACTAGGGTTCCTGAGACCACAAATTCGTATCCTTGTGGAGACTCACACACAATAGGGAACAAAACATTGTAAAGGTCTCCACAGGGCAATTTCTATAGAAGAATAGGTCTCCACAAGGTTTTCACGAAATAGATATATCGGTTTTACTCAAAAACTAGGAATTTCCAAGGTGGGTTGATCCGTCGCAAATGGAAGAGTTTTAGAAAAGGGATATTAAGTCCAAATTTCAGCCAAGGAAACTAATTCTGGTTAAAATAAGAGCATTTTGAAACTTCACTTTCAAAATTGAACACTTTACTACACGAGAACAAAGAAATGTCTCCACAAGGATACAAATTTGAGAAAGTGTGTTTATCATTGTGCCAGTCAACTCCACAATGACCATTTCAACTCTCCTGACTAAGCCTAGCTTACCAGATACACAACCACAAAGGGGATGTTGAATTGGGCACATGGTAAGTGGGTCCTTTCAAACATAAAATGGACAAATGTAAAGGACATACTGCAACTACAGGGTGAGTAAAAAAACAAACGAAACCCAAATGTCGGGACTTTTGTTGTATTGAAGTTCTGCAAGTAGCATTTTCAAAATCTAGGATATAAAAGCCCAATTCATAAGCTTTCTTTTAGTACAAGAATCATTCAAATCACTCATGTACTTTTCAAGTTACGGAATTTTACACACAACCACCGTTTTAAGGTTCTGTCCGCGGATCACAACAAAAAGTTCAGTGTTCTTTCAGCAAAACGAAAACAAATATGTGTGGTTATGTTTAAAATTCTGTAACTTGGAAAGTACATGAGTGATTTGAATGATTCTTGTACTAAAAAAAAGCTTATGAATTGGGCTTTCATATCCTAGATTTTGAAAGTGCTACATGCAGAACTTCCCTAAAACAATGGTCCCAACATTTGGGTTTCGGGTTTTTTTTTTACTCACCCTGTATAGATAAGTACTTCTGGCAGTTACACACAGTAGGAAATTACGGGTTTTGATTATTGATTGCTTCCATAAGAGCTGTTTCTATGTATACTTCCTGTTTCAATCCTTGACTTCTTTATGAACGGGACCCCCAAAAGTTATGTTATTCAGAAAGCACATTCTTCATTGCCTTTGATACACATATAAAAATCTTAAACATTAAGTTGTCACACTATCTGTTTCAAAAACAGTCAGTCGTATACAATGCTGACAAATGTTTTAGAAATAAAAATGCTCCGATAAGTACGTTTGTATACAAAAATGGAAGTCATGTTATTTAACGAACTATTCAAGCTTAAACGTACACACCATTGCATGCAATGTCTGAGTAAGGGCCCTGCCCATGAATATTATGAATACAACACTAAACTGAAATATTTGACCAAAAAAATGCAAATTAGTAATTTTCTTTTGTTCACTGCAAGGCATATGAGCGAGTATAGGCTGGTAACTTATATTTTGTCATGATAAGGTATTGCGTTAAAGGTAATATACAACATTTGCAAACATAAAAATAAAAAAACAGACCAAATTGTTATGAAAAACCTTAGCTGACTGTAAGTAAATAAATCATCTCAAGCATCCTGTGAAATTATATCATCTGTATGCTGTAATTTTCAGGAAAAGTGGAATTTTTGTATCAATTTCCAATGATGGTCGGCTGACCACCGTTGGAAAAAAACCCGACTTTTTTTTCAAGTACTGCCCCCAGTTTACCAAATTTAGTTAGACCACGTTTTGTTTGCAATTGGTTTTTACAAATCCGTGAACGGATGCAAACCAGCTAGTCTGGTTACGGTCTGGTTCCCTGACCTGACAATTCCCTGACGTCTATAAATTGCTCTGTTTCGTCTGAAGTAGGGTCAAGGAACCAGTCAACAAGAACAGCATTTTTTCCTTAGTTTTTTCAGCACCTACAAACACAAAACTTTAAACAGGTCAGTGTTACAATATCGACTGTGAAGTACTAACCCCCAAATCCATCCATTTCTGAAAATTACAGCAAAACCGAATCTTGTATGTAAACCTTTCAATCCTTAAGAGAGATGACAAAATATTAGACTCTTCCTGCCTGCTAATCCAAGAGTGCGCATGGACCAATTAGATCGCGACTTTTGGTCATGTGACCACAGTAGCTTGGTCACACTGGGAATGCACACAAACCAAAGGTGGGCGGGGCTTGTGGGCGGGGCTTGTGGGCGGGGCTTGTGGGCGGGGCTTATGACCACACCCACAACGGTCCACTACGACTGAAAATGGACCGGTCGGCCAGGTTATTTCAACAGTCGTAACCTGACTAGGCTAGATCTTGAGACTTTCATTGAACGCGTCTTCTCATATTAACCTTTCATCTGTCTCCAGGTCAAAGGCGGCCATCGGCATCCCTCCGTCTAGCTCTTCCTTGGCCGGGTTATATTTGCCCTTCATCTTGCGGGATTGCTTGAGATACCACCAGATGTAGACCATGGCACAAGCCAGCAGGATGGCTAGGATGACCAGGGGGAGGATGACTTGGACAGGTTCAATCGGCCTCGCTGAGGGAACTTCACAGTAATCACCTGAAGAAAAGTAAAACAGATGAAGCCAATTAACTCATCACAGGCTTTCAATCAGACCCAGGTGAAAAAGTATGAGAACAGTAGACTCACAGTTTAGACAAAAAACAGGACAAAAGACTTTGGAGGACAAATTCAGGATAAAAGTAAGACTCTTGTGGGCTTTCTGGAGAAGTTTTTGTTGATACTCACCCATGTCCACATGTCCACAGCATCATAAGTCTCATTTGGCATGTTCTGTACTCACAACACTTGTGCTCCATCCTCAACTTAGCTCTTGGAAGTACAGTTGCAGTACTCCTGTGCCCAAGCCCTTCATTGTGTGCTTTACATATGACAGTGTGTAACACTCTTGAAAAAATATTCAACGAGATTTCATTTTTCGAAGTTGTGGGACAAAAAAAGTAGGAAAAAGTAGGAATTCCAAGAAAAAATGTTGGAAAAATAGGAGCAAGGTAAAAACCAAGGGAAAGTAGGCAATGTAGGAATACTTGAAAGCCTGTATTGTACTACATTGTATTTACTCCTTGATGAATTCATACAACGATAGGGTGCTAGGGCAGTTTTGGGCGGTATGAGAAGTAACAGGCCATTTGCGGCGGCACGGGGACTAACAAGTTAAAATCACTGCAAAAAAATGCTACTCACATTCCAATAAAACATAGAAATACAATCAATCAATTAATACAACACTGATAAAAAATAGCTGAAAACAGCTGAAAAAGGTGTAAAAAAGCTGAACTTTTGGAAATCTTCTATACTTTTGTACACAGCAAGTGAGGGAAAAAAGCTGAAATCCAAAACAAAGAAAAGCTGAAATCAGCTTTAAAGCTGAGATTTCACACCCCTGAATACAACAAACGAATGGATGGAACGAATAACGAAGATAATGCTACATTATCACAAAGAATTCTCCCATATTTAAAACATTTCTAAAACAATGAAAAGTCAGTGATGAACTTATGCATACAATTAATTATTTTTACAAATATATTATTCTCTTAATTCTTAATCCAGTTCGTCTTGCAGTGCGTATGTGTTACCGTATACTGAAAACTGAGGAATATCTTACCGTTATATTCGCTGCTGCATAAACAGGTGTAACTACCTACAGAATCCCGGCAACTTCCTCCGTTCAAACAGCGATGAGAACCAACTTCACATTCGTCGATATTCTCTGCGCAGGTCGTACCCTCGTATCCCGTATTGGTGCAATTACATGTAAACCCATTCACTTTGTCCATGCAAGTGCCTCCGTTTTGACACGGATTGCTCCCGCATTCGTTAATTTCAGTTTCGCAGAGCGTACCGTTAAATCCGGCGTTACAGCGACATTCAAAGAACGGTCGATCGTTGATACACCGTGCACCATTCATGCAGGGGTTATCGTTCGTACACTCGTTGATATCCTCTGTGCAGTACTGTCCCGTGAAACCGGTACCCGTGCAGTTGCACTGGTGGGAACCAGGCGTGTTGATGCACTCGCCGTCGTTGTAACAAGCGTTGGGATCTGTTTCGCATTCGTTTACGTCTTGATCGCATACGAGTCCTTCGTATCCGGTGTCGGTGCAGTTACACTGGAATGCTATTTGACGTATCGAGCATGTTGGGTCTCTCTGACAAGCCAGTCGCTGGCACGCTTCGTCTTGTCCACAGTTCACTGCCTCCTGGGGGAGCATCGGGCAGTCACATGGTCCGATGTAGTCACATGACCCTCCTTGTTGGCAGAGATTGCTATGGCATGCATTGATTTCGTTGGTGCAAAACTCACCACCGAATCCCAACTTACACTGACACTCTATCCCCAGACCAGGCCCCCTATCTTCACACTGGGCGCCGTTCTGACACAAAGCTTGTTGGCATGTTCTCGTGTCTATCTCACAATTGGTCCCATCGTAAGGCTCAACGCACGTACACACATAGGCATTGACTTGGTCCGTGCACTCACCCTGGTTTAAACATGGATCGCTGTCGCATTCGTTAATGTTAGTCTCGCATTCCATACCGGTGTATCCTGCGACGCAAGCACACTCGTACCCAGGGAAATTTGAATCCCCAAATGGATACTGGTTGCACTGTCCACCGTTCATACACGGATCAGAATCGCATTCGTTTACATCCGTCTCGCACAACGGTCCTCTGAAACCAGCAGCGCAGCTGCACGTGAAGTTAACCTCCGGCACGGTTGTATCATGGAAGCACGTCGCTCCGTTAAAACATCGGTTCACCTCACACTGATCAATCGGTACTTCGCAGTTCACGCCTTCGTAATGCCGAGTGCACGCACATGTGTAGTCGCTCATGCTCTGTGCGCACGCTCCGCCATTCTGGCACGGATTTTGAAGACAGCGATCCACAAACTGGCAGAACTCACCGTGAAAACCACTCGAGCATGTACAAGTGTACTCGGTTTCATTCTGTACACACTCCGCCCCGTTCAAACAGTCATGTCTAAAGCAGGGATTGTAAGTCTCACAGTTGACGCCTTCGTAGAAATCCGGGCACGCACACGTGTAAATGAGATTATCAGCAGTCTGGGTACACGTAGCGCCATTCTCGCACGGGTTCTGGGTGCATAATCTGTTATCCACGCTACAATTCTTGCCTTCGTACCCTGGCACACAGTTACAGGTGTAGTCTAACGGGAAGACGTGAAGGCACGCGATGGTGTTCTGCGCATCGCAGGGACGGCTGTCGCAAACGTTGATCTCGATGTCACAGAATTCACCCGTCAGTCCCACCGGGCAGAGGCAAGAGTAGGTCATGTGACCATCTAGACAGGTGGCTTCGTTCATACACTGGTTGCCTGAAAATAATTCAACAAGAACAATTATTATAAGATGGAATTTTGCGTCGGGGTGATATAAACGTCGGTGAAGGGCAAAACCTAATTTGATTTAAGAACAATTATTTCACAAGAACGAAAATCCTAAATACATGTAACCGAGTGCAAGAAAACACTGAAAGCGAGGAAATGCAAAAGAATTTGGCAAGAAGAACTATATGAATGTTATGTAAGATTTTTAAAACCAATATACAGCTATTTTCAGTCGTGGGCAAGAAAAAATGAGGTTCACCCTCCTGCTGTCTAAACAGTCACAGACAGTCAAAAACATTAATCCTCTTCCCCTGCCATGCCTTTTACACAGGCTAGTCACCAACAGTCAGATCATATTTCCAGCAAGCACTGTGACTAGTCAAATTCAGTCAATCGACAAAAGCAAGCAGTGGAAGCAAAGCTGTCTTATCGATCAACTACAGTAACAGCATCACTGTATCAAGTTACATAAACAGTCACAGCCAGTCGATCCTGCTTTGAGCTCGTAACTGTTAAAAACAGTCACTTGATTGATTTTGACTGAAAGGACAACTTTGCACAGAATGTTTACTAGCATATGAGAATTAATCATACAAAAATGGAGGAAATTGTGCCAATGCTTAAACATCGCTTCCTTGTAACCTTTTTAGGAACATAGAAAGTAAATGTGGTTACTGGTTGTGATACAAAAAAACTGGAACAAGTAGTGGACATGAATCCACAATGTAAGCTCCTTTTCACTTGAATGTTGTGGATAAACAGACTCAGTCAGTTAGTCCACTAATGTCAACTCACCGATACAATCGTCTATGCTCTGGTTGCACTGCGCACCCTCCCAACCCTCCAAGCAAATACACTCAAAGGCATTCCAGTTATCCACACAGTACGAGTTGACTGGACATGGGTTGGGATTGCAGACATCCACGCTTGTGCATCCGTACGTGATTGGTCCCGTCGGGCTGCTGATCATGATGCCTGGTTGTGGAGAGTTGGTGGATAGGTAGTGGATGCGTTGATTGTTGAAGAAGAGGTTGCGGACACAGCCTTGGATAGTTTGGGCTGCTGCAACACCTAGAATGAGAAATACAGAAACGGAACGTAGTGTTAGGGTTAATTTGTTGACAAATCGGTATGAGTGGATAGGTAGTGGATGAGTTGAATTAAAGATTGTGGATACAGCCTTGGAGGTGTTGGGCTGCTGCAACACCTAGGACAAGAAATACAGAAGCAAAACAATGTTGGGGTTAATTTGTTGATAGTAGGGTATTAATTGATAGGTAGTGGATGCGTTGATTGTTGAAGAAGAAAATGCGGACACAGCCCTGGATAGTTCGGGCTGCCGCAACACCTAAAACGAGAAATACAAAACAGAGTGTAGTGTTTGGGTTAATTTATTGCCAGTAGAGTATTGGTGGATAGGTACTGGATGTGTTGATTGCTGAAGAAGACATTGTGGACACAGCCCTAGATAGTTTGGGCTGTTGCAACTCTTAGAAGGAGAAATACAGAAACAAAATGTAGTGTTTGGGTTAAGTTGTGGATAGTAGGTATTTGTGGATATGTAGTGGATGCGTTGATTGTTGAATAAGACGTTCCGGACACAGCTATAGAGCATTTGGGTTGCTGCAAAGCCCTGAAAGATTAAATAGAAGTTAATAAGTACTTGCTATTGTTTATTATTGAATGTTAGTGGATAGATTGTGGATGAGTTAATTGTTGAAGTAAAGAGTGTGGATACAGCCCTGGATGGTTTTGGCTGCTACAATACCTAGAATGAGAAATACAAAAACAGAACGTAGCGTTCGCTTTAATTTGTTGATAGAGGGGTTTTAGTGGATATGTAGTGGATGCATTGATTGTTTAAGTAAAGAGTGCTGATACAGCCCTGGATGGTCTGGGCAGCTGCGAAGCCTTGAAAGGGAAATGCCTAAAAAATATAATATTATGGTTGATATGAATGGAAGTGGCAAGTGAGGGAAAAAAAGAAATCCAAGATTTAAAGAAATCAATAGCGATAAAGAAATCAAAGAAAAATACAAATGAAAAAGTGCTGTGTAGATTTGAGGCAAATTGTGATTAATATGAGAATGTGTTAATTTTTTGATTTATCACATTCACAACATAAAATTGAATTTGGAAGTTTGACAACTTTTCTTACCACCGGTTGCCGTGTTCGTTGGTCCACCCACCCACACCTCCACTGTATCGCTCCTATCAGACGTATGCATGGGAAAGTCTCCTTCTAACACCAACTGCTGCCCTCTATAGTCCACCATGATGTTACCACGGTGACGTATCCATGACAACTCTTGCCATTCAGCATCCGATGCGTTGGTAGTGATTGGCAAAACGTTTTCAGCTGTAACAAGATAAAGAAGAATTGTTCACATTTTAACATGTTAGTCTCTGTACCACCCCAAAGATTACAAATATCAATAAATCTGAAAATCAAAGAAAAATAAAACAAATATCACTCCATTGGATGTTTGCAATTTTCTCTACAACAGCGTGTGCCTAGTTCCAACTCATTTTGCTAGAACGTCTCAAATATATCAGGCATGCAACTTGGATGTCATAACAAACAAGACATTCCGGAGCTTTACAAGAGTCTCTGCAGTTTGTCACTTTTAAATGGCATACAAGAGAAGTAAAAACAGAGGAAATCAGCTGATCTGAGGAAAGATTGCAAACCAGATTTGATTGTCCCAAGTGGGTGCCTTTTTGTGCCAATAAATAGGATTACAGTACATAAAGACGTGAACCCCACTCCATCTTAACCCACTCACCTATTCCAAACCTTGTTTCAAGCTGCAACGATCCCGATGTTTCATCCAGACTAATCAGCATATGATCCACTCTCGTGTTGGTCTTACTAAACAGTCTGATGAGCATGATGACGCCCGTCACATCGCGGGTCCGGAAACTCACGCCAAACTGATCGCCAAAGCTGACCAGTTGGGTGTCGACAATCAGTCGAAGACTACTGTCCTGGCCGTTAAATGTAGACGCACTCACTGCATTGGAGAGAAAAGTTTTTCACCAACTTTTGTCAGTAACAATATTTTGGGACACAATGTGAAATATTCTTCACTTATTGTACAGCAAACTGATAGAGGTAATTTCAAATCTCTTGAGAATTTACTAAAAGCAATTATTAGTCAAATCATAATTCAATCAAATTAGATATCGTAACTTCAACGTTTTCCATAGCCGGCATCATCGAAAAAGTCAGTTTTTCACCTAAAAATCCAACTTTAACAAAATTGCTCAAAAGTTCACACGAGGTGCCTAGAGGCCACAACTGAATTCTCTGAAGAGTTCAACTCATTACATTCAGTATCCAGTGAGAAAGAAAACTTTAAGATGTTTTACAAAATTCACCCAAAACTTCAACGTTTTCCATGGCCGGCATCATCGAAAAAGTCAGTTTTTCACCCAAAATTCAACTTTACCAAATTCGCTCAAAAGTTCACACGAGGTGCCTAGAGGCCTGAATTGAATTCCCTGAAGAGTTCAACTCATTACATTCAGTATCCAGTGAGAAAAGAAAACTTTTTTAATTTTTTACAAAATGCCCCCAAAACTTCAAAGTTTTCCATAGCCGGCATCATCGAAAAAGTCAGTTTTTCACCCAAAAATCCAACTTTACCAAAATTGCTCAAAAGTTCACACGAAGTGCCTAGAGGCCAGAAATAAATTCCTTGACAAGTTTAACTCATTACATTCAGTATCCAGTGAGAAAAGAAAACGTTTTGATTTTTTACAAAATGCCCCCAAAACTTCAATGTTTTCAGCCGGCATCATCGAAAATGTCAGTTTTTCACAATCCAACTTCACAAAAATTGCTCAAAGTTCACACGAGGTGCCTAGAGGCCAGAAATGAATTCCCTGAAGAGTTCAACACATCACATTCAGTATCCAGTGAGAAAAGAAAACTTTTTGATTTTTTACACAATTCACCTAAAATTTCAACGTTTTCCATAGCCGGCATCATCGAAAAAGTCAGTTTTTCACCCAAAAATCTGAATTCACCAAATTTGCTCAAAAGTTCGCACGAGGTGCCTAGAGGACAGAAACGAATTCCCTGAAGAGTTCAACTCATTACATTTAGTATCCAGTGAGAAAAGAAAACTTTTTGATTTTTTACAAAATGCCCCCAAAACTTCAACGTTTTCCATAGCCGGCATCATCGAAAAAGTCAGTTTTTCACCCAAAAATCTGAATTCACCAAATTTGCTCAAAAGTTCACACGAGGTGCCTAGAGGCCAGAAACGAATTCCCTCAAGAGTTCAACTCATTACATTCAGTATCCAGTGAGAAAAGAAAACTTTTTGGGTTTTTTCAAAATGCCCCCAAATTTCAACGTTTTCCATAGCCGGCATCATCAAAAAAGTCAGTTTTTCACCCAAAAATCCAACTTTACCAAAATTGCTCAAAAGTTGACACGAAGTGCCTAGAGGCCAGAAATAAATTCCTTGACAAGTTTAACTCATTACATTCAGTATCCAGTGAGAAAAGAAAACGTTTTGATTTTTTACAAAATGCCCCCAAAACTTCAATGTTTTCAGCCGGCATCATCGAAAATGTCAGTTTTTCACAATCCAACTTCACAAAAATTGCTCAAAGTTCACACGAGGTGCCTAGAGGCCAGAAATGAATTCCCTGAAGAGTTCAACACATCACATTCAGTATCCAGTGAGAAAAGAAAACTTTTTGATTTTTTACACAATTCACCTAAAATTTCAACGTTTTCCATAGCCGGCATCATCGAAAAAGTCAGTTTTTCACCCAAAAATCTGAATTCACCAAATTTGCTCAAAAGTTCGCACGAGGTGCCTAGAGGACAGAAACGAATTCCCTGAAGAGTTCAACTCATTACATTTAGTATCCAGTGAGAAAAGCAAACGTTTTGATTTTTTACAAAATGCCCCCAAAACTTCAATGTTTTCAGCCGGCATCATCGAAAATGTCAGTTTTTCACAATCCAACTTCACAAAAATTGCTCAAAGTTCACACGAGGTGCCTAGAGGCCACAAATGAATTCCCTGAAGAGTTCAACACATCACATTCAGTATCCAGTGAGAAAAGAAAACTTTTTGATTTTTTACACAATTCACCTAAAATTTCAACGTTTTCCATAGCCGGCATCATCGAAAAAGTCAGTTTTTCACCCAAAAATCTGAATTCACCAAATTTGCTCAAAAGTTCGCACGAGGTGCCTAGAGGACAGAAACGAATTCCCTGAAGAGTTCAACTCATTACATTTAGAATCCAGTGAGAAAAGAAAACTTTTTGATTTTTTACAAAATGCCCCCAAAACTTCAACGTTTTCCATAGCCGGCATCATCGAAAAAGTCAGTTTTTCACCCAAAAATCTGAATTCACCAAATTTGCTCAAAAGTTCACACGAGGTGCCTAGAGGCCAGAAACGAATTCCCTCAAGAGTTCAACTCATTACATTCAGTACCCAGTGAGAAAAGAAAACTTTTTGGTTTTTTTCAAAATGCCCCCAAATTTCAACGTTTTCCATAGCCGGCATCATCAAAAAAGTCAGTTTTTCACCCAAAAATCCAACTTTACCAAAATTGCTCAAAAGTTCACACGAAGTGCCTAGAGGCCAGAAATAAATTCCGTGACAAGTTTAACTCATTACATTCAGTATCCAGTGAGAAAAGAAAACGTTTTGATTTTTTACAAAATGCCCCCAAAACTTCAATGTTTTCAGCCGGCATCATCGAAAATGTCAGTTTTTCACAATCCAACTTCACAAAAACTGCTCAAAGTTCACACGAGGTGCCTAGAGGCCAGAAATGAATTCCCTGAAGAGTTCAACACATCACATTCAGTATCCAGTGAGAAAAGAAAACTTTTTGATTTTTTACACAATTCACCTAAAATTTCAAAATTTTATCAAAACTTTATCAAAATTGCTCAAAATGTCACACGAGGTGCCTAGAGGCCACAAATGAATTCCCTGAAGAGTTCAACTCATTACATTCAGTATCAAGTGAGAAAAGAAAACTTTTTTTTTTTTTTTAAATGCCCCCAAAACTTCAACGTTTCCATAGCCGGCATCATCGAAAAAGTCAGTTTTTCACCTAAAAATCCAACTTTAACAAAATTGCTCAAAAGTTCACACGAGGTGCCTAGAGGCCACAACTGAATTCTCTGAAGAGTTCAACTCATTACATTCAGTATCCAGTGAGAAAGAAAACTTTTTGATTTTTTACAAAATTCACCCAAAACTTCAACGTTTTCCATAGCCTGCATCATCGAAAAAGTCAGTTTTTCACCCATAAATCCAAGATTCACCAAATTTGCTCAGAAGTTCACACGAGGTGCCTAGAGGCCAGAAACAAATTCCCTGAAGAGTTCAACTCATTACATTCAGTATCCAGTGAGAAAAGAAAACTTTTTTAATTTTTTACAAAATGCCCCCAAAACTTCAAAGTTTTCCATAGCCGGCATCATCGAAAAAGTCAGTTTTTCACCCAAAAATCCAACTTTACCAAAATTGCTCAAAAGTTCACACGAAGTGCCTAGAGGCCAGAAATAAATTCCTTGACAAGTTTAACTCATTACATTCAGTATCCAGTGAGAAAAGAAAACGTTTTGATTTTTTACAAAATGCCCCCAAAACTTCAATGTTTTCAGCCGGCATCATCGAAAATGTCAGTTTTTCACAATCCAACTTCACAAAAATTGCTCAAAGTTCACACGAGGTGCCTAGAGGCCAGAAATGAATTCCCTGAAGAGTTCAACACATCACATTCAGTATCCAGTGAGAAAAGAAAAGTTTTTGATTTTTACAAAATGCCCCCAAAACTTCAACGTTTTCCATAGCCGGCATCATCGAAAAAGTCAGTTTTTCACCCAAAAATCTGAATTCACCAAATTTGCTCAAAAGTTCACACGAGGTGCCTACAGGCCAGAAAACGAATTCCCTGAAGAGTTCAACTCATTACATTTAGTATCCAGTGAGAAAAGAAAACTTTTTGATTTTTTACAAAATGCCCCCAAAACTTCAACGTTTTCCATAGCCGGCATCATCGAAAAAGTCAGTTTTTCACCCAAAAATCTGAATTCACCAAATTTGCTCAAAAGTTCACACGAGGTGCCTAGAGGCCAGAAACGAATTCCCTCAAGAGTTCAACTCATTACATTCAGTATCCAGTGAGAAAAGAAAACTTTTTGGGTTTTTTCAAAATGCCCCCAAATTTCAACGTTTTCCATAGCCGGCATCATCGAAAAAGTCAGTTTTTCACCCAAAAATCCAACTTTACCAAAATTGCTCAAAAGTTCACACGAAGTGCCTAGAGGCCAGAAATAAATTCCTTGACAAGTTTAACTCATTACATTCAGTATCCAGTGAGAAAAGAAAACGTTTTGATTTTTTACAAAATGCCCCCAAAACTTCAATGTTTTCAGCCGGCATCATCGAAAATGTCAGTTTTTCACAATCCAACTTCACAAAAATTGCTCAAAGTTCACACGAGGTGCCTAGAGGCCAGAAATGAATTCCCTGAAGAGTTCAACACATCACATTCAGTATCCAGTGAGAAAAGAAAACTTTTTGATTTTTTACACAATTCACCTAAAATTTCAACGTTTTCCATAGCCGGCATCATCGAAAAAGTCAGTTTTTCACCCAAAAATCTGAATTCACCAAATTTGCTCAAAAGTTCGCACGAGGTGCCTAGAGGACAGAAACGAATTCCCTGAAGAGTTCAACTCATTACATTTAGTATCCAGTGAGAAAAGCAAACGTTTTGATTTTTTACAAAATGCCCCCAAAACTTCAATGTTTTCAGCCGGCATCATCGAAAATGTCAGTTTTTCACAATCCAACTTCACAAAAACTGCTCAAAGTTCACACGAGGTGCCTAGAGGCCACAAATGAATTCCCTGAAGAGTTCAACACATCACATTCAGTATCCAGTGAGAAAAGAAAACTTTTTGATTTTTTACACAATTCACCTAAAATTTCAACGTTTTCCATAGCCGGCATCATCGA